TTTTCGACTGTGTGTGTATGTGTGTGTGTTTGGGTGTAACGTACACATATATGTATAGGTAGTATTTGTGTGTGTATGTGTATGTGTGCGCGCGCGTTTGTACGTGAGCAAACTTGTGTGCGTTTCGGTCTCTCGGACACGACAAAGAAGCGACTGCACACAATAGGTACCTATAATATTTTAATTTTTAATATTCGATTATTAATTTAAGAGTTGAGAATGATCAACATTTTCAGTATCCACGTACGCGAATTCGTTTTCTGCGAAAAAAAAAATAATATGAAATGAATTCCCGGAAGAGCAACCGTTCGGTAAAATCTTTAAGAACAGTAGTTTGTTGTTAAATTCTTACGATAGAAAACCAAAAATTTCTTATTAATCGAAAAATGCTCTTAACGGAATCATAGGTTATTTATATGAATACCTCAACTAGCGATATACTCGACCTGCGGTCTTCGAATGGTTTTTATGTGGCCCAAACAGAACTTATAGAATTGATAAAAAAATATAAATTTCAAAACTAAAAAGTTATATTATAATTATAAAATAGGTATAACAAAACAATCAAAGTGTGTCGTACGCGATTGCGATAAGGATAATTATGTTTTTGGTGTTTTCATTATTAATATAACGATTTTGAAATATGCAAAGAATGCGTATGTATACAAAAATCGACTTACTGATTCACAACTTGATGAGTTATTAAGAGTAGCATGCAGCAACTATTACAGCAAATATACTATGTGGCTCAAATAAAAAAAGGTTGAATATGGCTGACCAAAATCGGCTAAACCTATATAACATCAGCATTCAGCATATACTATTGTCAATAGCAAACTAGGTATAATATAAGATATTGTAATAATTTAAATTTATGTAGTCAAAAATAGATTTTTTTTAAAACTCCAATGAATTAAAAATTTAAATATTTTTACACCTTTGACTTTTGAAAGACGTAATTTCTATGTTATGTCATAAACTCATAACTCATAAATATTCAATCTTAGCGATGATATTGATAACATAGACAATGTCACCTAATCTAGGTTTTTAGGTGATTTTACCCAGTATCTTGATTAAATAATCAATATTTAGAAGACACAACAGTATCATTTTTTTCTCCGTTTTACATACGTATAAAACATTTCACTCGTATTAATCACTGTAATTAGGTATACAATGTTGAAATTAAGGTATAAAAATGAATAACTATAAGTACCTAGATATTTGAATTATTTTCTCAAAATGTTAACATTAAAATTTTCTAGATATGATATGATTTTCAACATAATATTTTACTCACTCTTTTTTAACCAGGTAGTTATAACTTATAAATATGTATTAAATTTTTTTATAACATAGATATCAATTAAAAAGTCTATGATCGATAGAAAAGCTTGAAAAATTAATCCGAAGTTAATACTGAAATTAAAAAAAAAGTAGATTTTAAATTCACAATAATTTGTATGAGCTTTTAAAGTTAAAATTTTAATAAAATTCATCAAAATTACAAAAATGTACATATTATTTTGTAGTTAAAATTCATACAATATTAAATATTCATACCTAAGAGTTTTATAGACATTTGAAGTTCAAATTTGAACAATATAACATGTTCAAACTAAGATTAGTGATGTTAGTTATTTGTTTTAATTCAAAAATATTATTTGTACGGGGAGAGACTTAAAACTTTTGTATGTACTTTAATTTTTGCAAATTTTACAATAATATTTTCAAAATATGTAGATTAATTTTAAGCTATTACTTATAAATAGTTAATACTATGAACCTATTCACATTATTTACTTAAAAGTTAATAATACAATATACTCGTAATATGGTATAAAGATACCTATTAATATATTATGATAATAATTAAATATTTATAATATTTATGAATATAATATTTTCAGCGAAAATTAAATTTACCTACCGTAATATGTATATTAATAATAAAATAAATTACTTTTATAGCAATATCAAAAATCATATCATGAAAATATGAAATATAATATACGTATTGATATGAGGCTGACAGACCGTCTCGGATCAGAATAGATTTGAGTATAGGTACTACGATATATCATTGAATTCAAAATTTAACACATCCATCACAGTGACCTACACGACACCTGCAGAGTGGTACTCATCTACCCACCTTAATTTTTAAGTCTTGATAAAAATGTATAGGCTAGGCCAAAAAACTTGAAAATTGAATACAATATCCCACACACATTGTTATTATACCTATTTAAAAATATTAAAAACAATTTCAAAAGTGTTTAAACATTAAATTTAGACAAAATTTAATAGGTACCTACTTAAAATAATTGTAAACGAAGAATTACAATTATAGTTATTTTGATGTGATTCAAAAGTAGGTATTCACGATAACTTGTAAATAACGTATGTATGTACATATTTATAGACTAGGTATAATTTATAAATTATTATTAATTATTTTTTACTATATGTAAAGACATTATCAAAATATTATTTATATTAATTTTAAACTATAATAATAATTATTATACAACAGACATAAACTTATTGACACCGTTCTATTGTAAATTGGTATGGCGGTATCGAATCAAAAGTGAATAACAATATAATAAAATAGTACAATACGTCAATACTTACAAGTTACAAGGCTATAAACTATTTACCTACTGTTACAATAATTAAGTATACAATAAATGTGATTTCTTCGCCAAAAGTTAATTTCACCTAGGTATCATATAATTAGTAAAATAAATATTTTTTTATAGCAGTATAAATAACTTAAAATAAAATATTTTATATTTACAACTCCGAACTCATCTTCTCTAAAAACTAAGAATTAATTTTTGTATTTATACAATGATTTATCATGCTAAATTAACATACTATTAGTGACATACTGACATGGACACGTGGTTGCCTATCTACTAAATAATAAGATACACTCAAGATACCAGAGCATTAAATTAACAATTAACCCGAAAGTCAAGAAACACAAGACATTTTCCAATATCTGAAATCAATGAGAGATGTGACCAAAGTAATTTACTTTTCGAAATAAGAACTCAAATTCTAAAACCTGAATAAAATCTGCCGGTTATATAAAATCCTAGTAGAGTAGTCCAAGGCCTTATGGGGGATACAGGTGACTCTCGACCTATGAGTCCATGTTTATACATTTAATATTTTACGACTTGGTATACTTACCTAAGGATTAACTAAATATTGATAAATGTTACATGATCGCATATGCCGCTAACAGACAACATTAGAACAATCACATTTATCCTTCAACAGTCAACGCTAGACCAGTATGTGCGAGGTACCTATAGGTAACTAAATTAATTAATTAATTAAAATAGGTACTAATATATTTATCTAATCATAATTATCAAGTAAATCATTTATTACTTCCTTTTTTTTCTTGTAAAATTTTATTAGATACATAATATGTAATACCTACATATTATTAAAAACACATCATGCAATTCTGTGATTTAAACCACGACTAGGTGATGAGTGGTAATCACTACTTTTTGATAGTTATCACGAACTTTAATATGTGTATAGTGTACTAGTCTATTGTAGTAAACGATGAATTTAAATTTTTTCAACCATTTGGAACACTATAGCACTATATCTAAAAACAGACTAAATTAATTAGCTTTGGCTAATATTAATAAAAAAGAAATAAATACAGCATTTGGTAAAAATGCTCCTACAATGATGCAACTATCAGAGTGAAATATTGAGTAAGCTGAGATGAAATACATCTATAATTAGTATCTATTTTAGGTAACTACATAATTTCTTAATAAATATGATTAAAACATATTTTAAAAATATATTGATAAAAATACTTAACTAAATTTAGTGGGAGAACTCTTAAAATCTTCTTTATCCAACACCTAGAGACAGGAATCAATCAAAAAAAGTTTAACTAACTAAATTAAAAATTCTGGTTAGTCACTAACAGAAAACCATATAATTATAGATTCTGAAACTTAGAGTGAAGATAACAATTAAAAGTACCTATTAACTTTTTCAGAAAAAATATTGTCAGTTATCATTTATAAGAACAGTAAAAATGTTTTTTTTCAACTTTGTATGTGATAAGTATTAGAAAATTGGTGCCTTAAAAAGAAAAATTCTTAGTACTTTTTAAAATAATTAGAACAAAATACTAGCAAAACAGAAATTTTGTTTGAGAAACGACTTCCAATATTTTACAAAAGTTATTTTGTATTTGTTTTAAGTAAAAAATGAAAAATTGTATGTTTTTTTTGCCAAATATCTACATCATAAATTAGATATAATTAATAATAGCATTATTATAACACTAAAAACTTGAATATTTAATACAATATTTCTCGTAAGTGATTTTAAATTCTTAAGAAAAAAAAAAAGACAAAACTCTTAAAAATCATGAAAATTTTCCTATTATGTTATGATGAAAAATTCAAAATAAAAAAAAAAAGCAATCAAATTAAATTTATTATCTTTTATGATATACCTATGAGTATATTTACGATTAATTTATACACAAAATATTAATAAAAAAAGATTCAATGACCAGCGTATCTACATATTTGTAAAAAAAAATTGGTTGTATTAGATATAATAATAATTTTTAAGTCATTATTGTTATTTATCCAAATAATACTTATTAACACTACACAATTTACCTTATTATATACAAAAGAACAAATAAAAAATATATAATAATAAATTAATTAATTTTAAAATTAGAATATCTTATTGATAAAATATTATTTATAGATTTAAATATAAATACTATTTTATACATTCACAATCTTAATATACAATTAAAAATACATTAAGAATAAAATAATATTAATAAACATTAAACATATAGAATACATAACATATTTTAATAAATACCAATTAAATATTTCTTTTAAAATGTTGTTTGTAGATTCTTCAAATAGAAATGTTTATTTTTTTTATACAATAAATTATGACCAAGTAATAAATACTACGAGATATGTAAGATAAAAACATTTTATTTAATAAAAAGTTAGCAACTGTAACGTCATCCATTTATATTTTACAAAAAATAAGTAATATGCTGATTGGCAGTTCACAATTGTTCAAGATAAAAATCATATTCCAAATCTTAAATCTTAATTATTTATTTAAAAATATATAATTACAAGTAAACAAAATTATTATACAGCTAACGTTTCCCAATTATTATCTGAAACTAACTTAATTTTATTCCATAAGCATTGCGAAATTTCATTGTCGGTTTTTTCATCAGTATTAAACTCAAAGTAAGCTAACTTTTTTGTGATTCTGTTATATGTATCTATTTACATAAGTTAAGAAGTCATTCTATGAAAAATTATATTTGTTATTAAATTAAATACCATATTAAACAAGTGAGACTATAACAATTTAAAAATATACATATTAATTAAAATTGAATATAACTTTTAAACTAAAATAAAGGAACATGTAGGATTCATTCCTAAGACATAAAAAACCAAAATGATTTTTAATTTTAGTAACTTTAAGTTAGACATATATATTATATAGTATCTTTTTAAATATACAAAATTATTTTAAATTAAATACTATATCTGTTACCAGAAACATACAGTAATTAATTTTTATCAATTTTTGTTTTCAAAAATTGGTTTTGTCAATTGACAAAAAAAAAATCACTTGACTGTGCTGAGCTAGGCATTTAATGAAATAGTAAAAGGATGCTTTAATTTTGATAAAATTACTGACAAACATTATTTTAATATTTCATCAACCCCCTAACTTAATGTATGTAATGTAAATTTTTGATATACAAAGTACATATAAATATTTTTTCTAATAAAATCCATCTTCTACTTATCAGCTAATTATGTTATATTTATTTAAAATAAAAGGATACATCCTTTTTTTATAGTTGTATTTGCACCATTGGAATAATCAAAATATATCTTCAACATATTCTTGTAAGTAATGAATGTTTTTCTAAAACAAAATAAAATAAATAAAAATTCACTAATTTTATATAATATATACAATCTTTACAAAAATATTGTAAGATTGTTAATCACAAGGAAAAATAAATATTATGAGTTATGATTATTTCATATTAGCCATAGCTTGAATAATCTATAATAATAAGTTATATTTTATACATACTAAGATAATGCAAGACACAATATTAATAATTGTGATTTTTTATAAGCATATTAGCATAGGAACTTTTTTGTAGAAATTATAAAACATAACTATAAAATGTATAGATAAATAATATTTCACACAAATTATTTAGTTCTAATAAAAAATAAACTTACTTGGTACGAGAAAAAATATCTTGATCAGCAGTACTTAACTTCATTTTGTTATATTTTTTTAAGTCAAACTCTGTTGATTGTAATGCATTTTTCAGACTCTCCACTTTATTTTTTAGGTTGTGCTATAACAAAATATTATTTACATTGATGAGATTTGATACATTTGTTTACAGAATCAATAAAAGTTTATATTAATTGGAATCTTAAATAAAAGCTACAAACCTAGATTAAAGCAAAAACTAGGTATTGACAATTTTTGTACACACATATTGTGCTATTATATTATAGATTATAAGTACATAATGCATAAAAACATAAGTGAAATCAAAAATTAAGTTCATAAGTGCTTCAAAATATATAAATACTTAAAATACACTAATTCATAACTTAATAAAAGTTTTTGTAGTTTCTAAGAAACACATGACATATAAAAAATACAAGGTGTAATGATAAGTATGGTTTAATTTAATTCACTATTAAATGTATAAACAAAAACACTTGCAAAGGATATAGTGTCTTTCTTTTAAATTTTAAATAAAACAAAGTTCATAAATATGAATAAAAACTTTCTTTTAAACACTCTGTCTATAGCTTATATACAATAGTTTTACTTTGGCTAAATTTATAAAACATTTAGTCCATTGAAAATTTCATAAATGTATACACTTAGCATTACTTTTTAATTTCTGTTTTAAATTATGAGATTTAAATTAAAAAAATAAATAAATATAATAGTTAAAAAATTAATAAAATCATGCTGTCTTATTTTTACTTTCATTTGCATTTGAAGAGCCAATTCTGACATGAGTTTGACACGTTCTCTTTCAATAATATTCAACTGTTCATCGTAGTGATTTATTTCTTTATTGATCTCTTCTAGTTTGTTCTTTGCTTCTAAATCCAAAACATGTATAATAAATACATTATACATAATAAATAATATTGAAGATCTTTAAGACAATGAAATCAATTTTGTATACCTTCACATTCTAAATGAGATTCCTCAGATTGTTTCAAGAGTTTGGCGAATTCATCAGAGACATTCGTTGATGGTTCGACATCTACATTCACATTACGTATGAGTTGTGAAAACATATTAAATATTATTGATAAACAATAAATCTGGTCCGAACGTTATTAAAAATGAATGATATAATGTATAACTGTCTTACATACACAGAATAATAGAAAAACATCTATTCGTAATTCGTATTTACTATTCACTATTCAGTTATTATACTGTTTTTTAAAGTGTATACCTACCACTGTAGTACTGTCGGTGTCGGACTATTCAATGGTTCAATGTAAAAAAACGGTTAACTGTCGAAGATATCACCAATGTTGCCAACTTTTCAATACAAAATACTTAATATGGTGCTTTTTAATGAAGATAGTCTTATCCATTGAACTATATGATAACTGGAACGCTCACAGCCCATATGACTAATGTAAATGAAACCGAGCGGGTCTGTTAGAAAGAGATAGCAAATAATATAGGTGTGTCTATCTCTGTCTTTATTGATAATACGCCGTATCATAATAATATCGTATATACTTTTAAATTTTAAATGCTTACCGGCACCTTAAAATTATTTAGCTTTGAGTCCTGTTTTTTTTTTTTTATAGTTTTTGGAACTGCATTACCTACTACAATGGTTAATTTTTGTAATGCTTACAATTGTACTAGTAGCAGTGATATTCAAAGTGATTTAATATTTTATAGGTTAGTATTAATGTTAATTGTGCTTGATGATTATTTCATAATTTTATTTACTGTACTGTAAATTTATTATTTAATAAATAAATAATCTTACTTTGTATTAAATGATAATTATCGACAAAGTTAAATGCAGATTGCAGCTATACTTTTAAATATTTTAAAGAAAAAAGAAGTGTACATAGATAAATGAAATGATTATATTTAATTATGTAAATCATAATAAAATAACGAATAATGAATTTAGTTGGTACATTGCTTTTTTTTCGAAAACCAATTATATCTATTATTTATTATTATATGTATATAATATAATACATTATTATATACATATTGTACACAATATTATTATGTAAGTAATATAATAATTATTATATAACTGTCAAGTTAAAAAGTTATCATGTATTAAAACTAACCAATTAATGCCTAACTTTGTCAATATTTAAAAAACAAAAATATAATAAATAAAAAATAATTTTTCTATTATGATTTTAGAGAACCTTAACATTGTACATAAGTAAATCTGAACTTGGATTGGAAAAATAGTTCCCTTTTCCCTAGATTTTTATAGTATTATTAAATACTACATTTCATATTATTTTTAACTGTTATAGTTTTTTGTCAATTAAGCTGACAGTTTAATTTCTGAATGTAGGCAAAATTTAATTGCTAATTATTCAAAATATATATGTATATTCAATATTTATATTATATAAAACTATCTCGTAATTCAATAATTATGATTTAAGCTTTAAGCTGCATAAATATATAAGTACAATTAATTATTACTAGGCACATAGTAATATAAAATAAAATTATACATTTACGCGGTATGTTAAACAAGGATAGACACACCTATAGTATTCGCTATCTCATTTTAACACGCTCGCTCGGGCAACACTGCATGGTGAGCGTTCCAGTTATCATATAGTTCAATGGTCTTATCACTCTTATCGCAAATATTTCATAGATAATGTATAATATTATGATCAATATGATCACAAATTCATCAATAATGTTTAATAATTAATAACTATTTTTTTTATATTTTGTTGCCGTGATTGTGATTTATAAATTACGATTAGTAAATCGTTTTTTTTCGGAATTTCGTGTGTACTTAAAACGACATCCACCATTGGAAATAAATCGTTATGTTCTTGACAAATGTGTTACTGAAAAAAGTAAAATCCAAGCACACTATGGTGCTAATGGAAAGCATGGTAAGCGGTCACAAGTACAACGTGTTCAGGGAACGTTTGGCTGACAAACTAGAACTTATACATTTCGACCCTTGGATAGGTCAAATGTCCGTCTACAAGGAGAGGAAAAAAATAAGAAGTGCAAACGTAAAGAGATTCACAGAGCCTACATAAAAGTCAAAGAATTACTTGTGTTTAATGTTAATAATTCATAAAATGTAGAATATTTGTAAGCATTTATATTTACAAATTGTTAAATATATCGTTTTAATTTTACTAAAAGCCTTTTGATTTAAGTTCCATAGATAAAAAAGCTTTCATGTTAGGATCCTTTATTTTATCTAATATCATTTTTGAAACTTGTTTACTATCACTGTTTGCCAATATACTTCTCATTTTATCTGCATAGTCGATCCATACACAATTAGCACATCCTGACATACAACATGTTGTTGGTTCTTCTGGTAATTCTGGTGGTTGTTGTGAGTAGATTCTTCTAGGGCATATGACACGACAGCTATTCACTAACCTCCATCGAGATATAAGGAACATCTTTTAGTTCTAGGAACAAAAAAACATCATAAATTAAATGTATACCTACATTTCATGAATATAAACATGTTGAGACATGGTTATTGGTCACATACAATTATTTATCAAGGGCTAGATTATATTACATGTATGATATTGATATGTCTATTATAAGAGTTTGAAAAATATATTCATTATCCTCAATACACCTTATCAAATATTGGCATCAACCACCAATAAAAATACACTGTACAGTAAGTTTATCTTATACAGAGTGATTCACTCATAAACTTTTAAAATATTTGAAGTTCATGGATTTATCAAGCATGTTACCAACCCATCCTTTTATCCTTTAATAATGCAATTATTCAAATTCTGTTTCTTAAATAAATAAGATTTTCAGTTTTTAAGTACTTGATTTTTATGCCACCCAAGAAGTGTCAATATAAACTTTATTTTTCATATGAAAACAATCTTTTTTTTTGTAAATAGTTAAACAGATAAATTTTTTCAAAATTGTGATCAAAGAATTAACTTTTTCTGGATTAATAAACTATATAGAGGTCTAGACTCTAAAGTTAATAATCCTTAATGGCAGTTTAACATAAATTGTCAATTAGATATGAACATTTTAATTTTGTACAGATAACTAAATGCTAATATATTATTATTAATAATTACTTTAATATTCAAGTTGTTATAACCATAAAATCTAATTTAACCTATTAATATGAACCAGAATCTTTAATTGTAGTTCATAAAGTTAATAATCAAGAAATATTTATACATGAGCATTTTTTTTTTTAAATCACCTGTTTAACAACTTATAATAAAGAAGACAATTAGATAGTCCTTATTTAAAAATAAAGAAAAGTTATCCATACAAGACATACTACTTAAATTAAATAAAAAATTCAAATATTTTTAATGTAAACATTAAAATTTTAAAATTCAAGATTTGATTGAAGTCATAATTAAAAGAAAAATTGGGGTTATTATGCCTTATAATTTTGTATAATAAAATGTACTTAGTTATTTCCATTTGATATTAATATTTTGTTTTTAATTGTTTACAATTGTAGTATTGGTATTAATAATTATAAAATAAATTGTAATATAATCTATTTTACATACAACACCCTAAATAGTATTTCAAAGAATATAAAATATTGTCTTCATTATAATATGTAAATATTGTTATTTTATTCATAATACAGAGCAGGTGTTTGATAAATAATAATAAACATGTTATGTCATGATATAGACAATATAAAAGCAAAAAACCATTTTATTTTGATATTTTAATATACATTGAAAACTAATGACTATTAAAAAAAAACAAATGGCAAACAATTTGTAAAGTACCTACTAAAGTGTTAAAAATAAAACAATAAATCAGATATCAGATATCAGAATAACATTTTTATTAAAAAATACAACCTTAAGACTCATTTAAGAAGTAACCTTGGCCATGTGGTAACAGTCAGTCAATATTCCAAGTTCATTATCATACTTCTTAATTATTATTTATGCTATATACATCATTAAAATTTAAGATTGTTGAACCATAATTAATTTTATAATTTCATATTATTATAGTTTCTACAATCGGACTAGTGATTTGTCAGTAAAATGTTTAGTTATTATGTCAATCAAGTAAAAATTATTTTAATAAGAAAATTGGCACCAAAAAACTGATTTCAAATAATATAAGTTTTAACAATTACAAAAAAAAAAAATAATAATAATAATATTATCACATAGTAAATTTATATAACATAATACATGTAATAGAATTATATTTATTAGTTGACAAAACAACAAAAAATAAAACAAAACAAGGTAACAAAGTATTTGCTAATTATTATGTTATGGTTAATACTGATTTGTTGTGTTATTGTTTTTCTAGTTTTATCATCTAAATAAATATTAGGGTACAAGAAAAAGGATATAATTTACAATATTTGGTAAACAATTTTTAATATACTCTACAATTCAATAGTTGCTATTAATATTATTTTACATTTACACAATAACAGAAAATTAAATAAATTTTATTAAGGCAAGTCACATGTTCTATTAAAATTCATCAATATATTCTTTTTACATTAAATTAATTATATTATCAGAGTACAAAAAATATAACATAATATGAATATATATATATGTAACAATAAATACTGTTTCATTATAGATTAAAATAAAAAAATCAATGCAAACACGTTTATCATAATTTAATTACATCTATCAGTTTTGACATGGTTGTACATCATAAATGGTTATAATTAATTATATGATTTTTTTTCATTGTAAATAAGGTTATAAAATAACTAAACTGATAAATGTCAAGACTAAAAACATTCAAGCAAAATGTTTACTGTAAAATATTTAATGTACAAAACAAACACAATTTAGAAGGTCATATCCATTCATTATAATAAAATACATAGGTAGAAAATAAATTAGTTACCTACTAAAAAGGAAAAATGCTTAAAAAAAATCACAGTAAGCTTTAGACAACACTAAAAGCTTTGAGGTAATTTCATGTACTCCTGTACTATTATCATTATAACATCATGAGTTGGTATTCTTCAAATCACCTAAATTCGTAAATCTGAGTACTGTGTTCTGGGACATGTGTTAAGCATAATGTTTGATACCTACAATTTAAATATTTGGTTATAATGATAAAAATAAAATAATAAGCAAAAAAATATTTACCATTCAGAACTCCGATGATAATAATATCCTTCAATGGAGGAAGTTGATTTCTGAAAACATATATAATAAAAACCAGCAAATGATGCACCGCTAATATCACGTATTGTATGATCGGGTACTAGAAAATGCTCCTTCCAACGCATAAATACATGATCGGCATTTTTTAATTCATCATAGTCAAATGCATCAGAATTAAAAGTTTTAGCGTACTGACAAAATGCAGCAAATTTGTTCTGTAAAATAAAAGTCATGTAAATATAACAACACAATAGGCGATAAATAGTACAAATACTACAAACCCAATGTTTCTTGTCAACTTCTTCATCAGCATCCCATTTCCTCGTCAAAAATGGACACTTTTTGTTAATAATTTCTCCGTCAAAATAAGTAGTCAAATTAGGAAACTCTTCAGTAAGACCTTTAATTTTTAGATAACCGCACAAATAACCGTTTTGCTCGTCAACGTACTATAAAATGAAATTTTGAGCAAAAAAACGTTAAGATTGATAAAATTTAACAAAAGGGATAGCGCTATCTCATATAACCATAACAATGATTGGTACATCAAACATCCAAAACGTTAATTACGAGTAAAACCTACATACCTGCAATACAACTTCCACCTCGTAACTGTTTCCTTTAGACCTCTGAAACCCTTGGAATTTCGATCCGCTGTACAATATAGACCCGGTGACCCCTAGTTGTTTTGAGTTTGCCGGAGGTCTGGGCGTAATGTCCACTTTGACGGGCATGCCTATCGCAGAGGGATCCTGCACACGAGTTGAAAAAATATTAATTAACCGTCAGGCCGTTTTGTGTATGGTCACTAAACAACTCGATATTTGTTTATAATTTTTATCGTTAATGTTACTATTGTTATTATTTTATGTGTGAGCACTGAGCAAAATATTCGAAAATCCGTGTGCCGCGGCGTCAGCGGCGGTGATCTGGGGGGCGAGAGCGCGCGCGCGCGTCAAGACAGTCGCACGGAGGTGGGGCCCGGTGGCGGGAGAGCGAGGAAAATAAGTCGTGTAGGAAAACAACAAGGACGTCTGGCGCGATAACAGAGCGTTGTAACCACGAAACCGTAGCGAGTAGTGACTGGCGATCGTCGGCATGTTATAATATTGAATATTATGACAATAATGATTAATAATAAGGTCATTCAAAGAATCCGAACGACGACGACGGCGATAATAATAAAAATGATTAAATACCAATGTCGTACGTACCTGATGTCGGTGTTTGTCACGGACGATCAAAACACCACGTCCTCCACGAGCACGAGAGGACGGATAACTGATAAGTAAATAAGCGATTGTGATATTATATTATATTTAAAATTACATTTAACAGCGTCTCCGCCGAACAGGTCGTATAAAAGGTTACGGAGCTAAGCTGCAATGAAAATAGGATAACAATTGCTGGTGATTTTATTTTCCTCGAACGTTCAAAATAAAGTAAATAAACACCGACGAGGAAACGGTTCGCAATATCCAAACGTCATTATGCCGTCGCCGGGTTATTACTTATTAGTTATTACACACTTACACTTATAAACATAAGAGTTCCCCACTATTGTAACATAATATGTAATAACGTTATGGCTCTGATTTGAATTTACAGAGCTGATTTATAAGTTGGGACAGTTGGATCTATAATTGTATCACGGACACACACGACATATATTATTTTATTTATTTTTTAAATAGTCCTTGTTTATACTATTATGTGTAGTGTACTAATACTGTATAGGTTACAATTATTGTAATCAATGTATTCGGTGTAATCAATATTTAAAATTATTGCGTTTTAGATTTTAAATGGAAGAATGAATACATTGATTTTAACTATAGGTTTTTTTTTCATTTTTATTTTTGTATTTGTCATCACTAATTAAGTTAGTAAATATTCTAGGTACTTTTCAAAATTATAGGGAAAAAAAATAAGGAATAACGAGAATTTTTAATTTTTAACTTTTAACTAGTAAATGAAAAAATTTTTTATTTTTGATGTAATTCAAAAACAAATAACCTTAATACTTGACATTTTCACCAAATGTTTATGTTAGGATTTTCTATGCTTGATAAAGTGTTCAAAATATTTTAATTATTTTTTTTACTCGGTCAAAAAACATAAAAGTAAGGTTTATTATAACTTATAAGCTTAAACTATTTAAAAAATATTAAAGATACATGATATCAATGATTTTATTTAATAAGTATTATGAATTCAAATTCGTCAAAATCACGAATATTTGCAGATTATTTTGAAGTAAAAAATGTATAAACTGTTCAATATTTTATACTGAAATCAAAAAATTTAAAAGTATATATGAACTGTCTTTTTTATAAATATATCAAATTTAAAATTTCACGAATTTGTTTTTATATATAGGTACCTATATAATATATAAACAAAAAATAACGACTGAAGTTGTTTTGTTGTAATTTAAAATATTTTTCATAAGGACTTGAAACTTTTAACGTAGGTATATTATTATACTTAAACATTTAAACGCATACAATGACATTTGAAAATATTTTAATTAATTGTATGTTATTGCTTAATTATATAATTTATATCGTTTTAATATCTAGCAATATATTTATGATAAAGACACTGCCAAAGTGTAAACTTATAAAGTTGATATTGTGATAGATCACTTTCGTTCAGAATCATTTTACGTACCTATTCAATGACTTATTAATAATTTATTCCATATTTTTTTGTTCTCGAAGATGCTTTAGTTTTCTTTTGATCACATTTCTTTCTCCCGTGTTACATACAAACAACACTTGTAACCTGGATTATTTTAATAACTTATTGAATTCAATAAATAATCAATTAATTCGATTCACTTATAAAGATTTTCTCAGTGTTTATTTAATGAAGTACAGTAGGTGCGCAGCTATTTCCAATGTACCAATATTTAAAATAAATAACCATATTATTATTAAAAATTCAATTACTGAATTGCATTATAAAAAATATTTCATTCATACAAGTGGTTATGACTAAACCTTGATGTTTAAATCCAAAACATTCACAAACAGTAACAAATAAAAATACCATATTATACATAGAAACAAAATTAAATTAAATAGTTGAATATATATCAAAAATAATTGATTAATTTAAAATAATTGACGTATTTATAAACAAATTAATATAATATTACTAACATACAATATGTAATTTAGAAAATTACATTTTTTTTGACGTAAGCAACAGAGATTTTTTTATTAAATATCTTATTGTATCATCACTTAGACTGGAAATAGATCATCCATACTAAATGTTTCAATTACGGGTTTGAAAATGCCCAGAATTATAGCATCTACGGTGTCTTCAATCAAAGGTCTTGTTTCCTGTAGTAGATCCGTCCAGTTTTCATTTATGAATCGGTTAGTTTGATCACCTAGAACACAAATTTAACTTAATACAAATTTTCTAATAAATAAAAGAATTATATATAGTTCAAAATACTTACCTAATTCTTTGTTACCGTTAAATAAATTGCTAAAATGTAATTTTGCTGCTCCTATTTCTAGATTTATTTTATTTTTTTTAATCTCAATAAAGTTTTTGTGATTCTTTTTTTCAACGATTTTTAATTCAAACTTAATCTTTACATGAACGTTAGCTAAAAATATAAGAATGATTACACTTTTAAAATATATATTATAAATTGTAATTATGTGTATTTTTTCCCTTTTTAGATTCTGAGTAAACCGATGAATATATTGCTTTTACAATGATGGATGTTTTATTTTCTTGTACACGATATATTATAAAACAAATGCTTCGATATTAAACTTTGGGATAATTACTATTTATAAATTGGATCTAGTTTATAGTTAATACTTTTAATTAGTAATATTTGAATATTTGATTTTTATTTTTATTTATAATTCAAAAACGATATACTTTTAAATAACTGAATTTTTAACATATTCTATACATAGTAGGTACATTCAATAAATTTTAACTTTTTTGAGCTACCTATTTATAGAGATTTTATATTTTCGATTTTCGTTCGTTTTTTTTTTTTTTTTTTTAAGATAAAACTTGTCGATAATGATTCTTAAATTATTTTATGGTTAAGAATTCATACGTAAGTTTTAAGAATTTAATATAATAGGTTCCTCATAAGTTTATTTAAAGCTATTTAAAAATATTAAAAATGCATGGGTGCAATTTTTTTAATGATAAATTTTGTAAAAATCTCGAACATTTGTAACAAATTTATAGTTGAAAATTTATAAAGTATTCAATTTATATGTTTGAGGATTGACATTTTAATATGTAATTCCTCATAAGTAGATCATACTATGAAAAAAATTTGAACGAAATCAAGTATTAAACGAGTAATAATAATATTAGTTATTTCATTGTAATTTAAAAATATTATTTGTAGGTAATCGAAACTTTTAATGTATATTATTATATTTTATACACATAATATAATTATTAACTGCAATGTTTTCGGCAAAAATTAATTCATTCTACCTACCACGCGGTAATATAATAATTATAAAAATATATGATTAAATAATTTATTTTCTTAGAAAAATAGACTAACGGATTTTCATTGCTTAAAATTGTTTTTGCACACAATGATTTATCATTGAATTCAATTTTAACACGTACATTATAATAACTTCTCGATAACGACGTACTGCACAGCATAGTGGTTACCTACTTTCCCCTTTTTTAATTCGAATTTTATATGCAATAAATTGTAAACCACAAAATATGTTCAACCTATAAATATTAATCAATGTTTCTGATTAAGATAACTTATGATTAAATTTGTATTAATATTTGATCATACACAATAAGATAAGTTACTAGAAATTTATTCTAATACACATCGCTTTTATTGTGTGGGTGAAAAAGTGATTCACTCTATAATAGCCAATTGCTACTGAAAGATATGACATTTTTCAGCGAGCTGGAGGAAATTTTAAATAGCACTTTAAAAAATTTAAAACGGACCATGTTTCCAACTAAGAAATTCTATTTTAATTCCGACATACTGACTATTGATTAATCTATAATTAAGCGATATGGATTATGAAAACAAGTTTAGCTTCCTTATTGTCTTGTCTTATTTGAATCCTATTAACAACGTTTAAACAAATTTGATTTTTACAAATGAAAATTTGACTTTAAAAATGTAAAATTTTCATATTCAATTTGTATACTCTAAAACTTATTACCCTTTTTCAAATAAATAAATGAAAAAAATAATTGTTTTAATCTTAAGTAAATATAATAAGATATTCAAATTCATTTTTAGTAACAAAATTCATAAAATATTTGATTTTACTATCAAATGCTAGAAAATCTAATTCAAATTTCTCATAATCAGAAGTTTATCTTACTGAAATTAAAATAAAAACTTAACGTAGACCACATAATTGTCATAAATTAAAGGTGAAAATTATTTGCATAAAGGTACAGACTATTGTCCTTATAAGCTGTCTGATGGTAAATGGTCACAGGAAAATTTACCTAGAGCCCTCCTCGTGCAGATAACATCCGTTTATGTAGGGTCATATACCCATTAATTAATTACGACAATTTAAAGTGGTACGATTATTTTACTTGATCCAATTTTTTCATTAAACCAAATAGGTAGTTATAAACAAATTGATTAATTTTATTTGATAACTTTTACATTAATAGAATATTTTTTCTTAAGTTTTAGGTAAATGGTTTTAAGTACATATCAAAATGGATTTATAAAATATAAAAATTATATATCATATTTAAACATAAATTTATAAATTCACCTCAGTAAATAAAGATCATCGTTATACCTACGCAGCAACTCAAATAAATATGGTACATAAATTGTAACTAGTGAATCACTAATAATCTATTATCTCACAGATAAACTCAATAGTAAAAACAATACCACTGTTATCACGAATTTTCATTAAAAAAATTAAAAAACAAACCATTTTTTTATAAACTTAATAAACAAGTTAAAATAAATTACAAATCCATTTATCTATGATAATTTTAATTTTAGAAACATGGTTTTTAAAACATTCAGAAATGTATCATTCCTATGTCTTAATTCAAACAATACTTACCTTGATAAGGGATATTAAAATTTCTAAGATATACAGATAAAAAGGAGTACAGAAGAAATAAAGTCTAAATTATTTCATACTGTTATATACCTAACTTAAAGCATTTATGTTTATGCTGTGAATATATTTAATATAATTTACTTTCATTAACTTACTAAAATTTCCAACGAATTTGCCATTTCCTTTAATAGGCAGAACTAATATTTGTCCATTAACTTCGTATCTAGATTCAATTCTGAACAAAGGCAAATTTAAGTCAACCTCCAAAGATTGATTTTTAATACTAGCTCTGTAAAATAATCATATATGATATTTTGTAAGTGAATAATATTTTTTTTTAATATAAAATATTAAAATAATTACTTGATTTTATGTATTTGAAAATTTTTTCCTCCGTAACCTTTCAAATCTGTGAACAAAGCGATAAAATTAACTGAACCAGCTGAATTTTGATTCAAAGTCACAGATGGTATCATTATTGGATCTAAAGGTAATACATGCATTTCTGGTATTCCTTTACTAATATAGGGTCGAATGTTTTCCATTAACCTCATTAAACATTCATTAATGTTAGGGTCATCTCGCTTGCATGGTTTAATGTATGAAGCTAAAAAAATGTTTGAGATTAATTTTTGAATTCCAAAATCAGTATAGGTACTTATGTTTTATATTTTTAGTATACTTACGCAATGATCGACTAGTTATTTCATTAATTAAAGTTATGCACAAAACAAATACTATTAATTTCACTGCCATGTTGAACTAAAATGTAAAGAGCTAGATAAAATCCAATCTCTTACTAACAACGACTTAATAATTTGTGAGGAGCTCTCCAGACAGTAGCCAGGTATATATATATAATATAACCACGCGGAAAATAACCTTGTGTCAGGTCATCAATTTGATATTTATTTTATATATTGTCAGTTTAATGAGTAAACCCAATACAGAACTCACAGAGTGGCTAAAATTTACAAGATATCAATCATAATTTATATAATACAAATACTAATTGTCAAGGTTAAGTTAAAAATTGTACATTAATAAGCACATTATGAAAAACTGAAAGGTAATTATAGGTCGTTATCCATAATTTAACGCCCTAGGAGTTATTAGAAAAATACAATAGCTAAAATGATGCGTCTGACAAATTATGAAAACAACTATTTTTGAAAATATTTAACTATATTAAGGTAAGAAAAATAGAATCTTATAAAAATATACATGATAATAAGCTGGGCTTGGATTTGTATGCAATAAAAAATTGTAAAATATTCATTTTATTTATCAAAATATGCATATACATTTTTATAAGATAAACACAAAAATATAGTTACAAAAAAAAATATTTATTCATTCAAATACATCAGTGATTGGCTGTTTTTCTTAATATAGTATAATTGATAAATAAAATAAAATAAAATTTATAAGTTACATTCGACAGTAGAAATACGTATGTTACATGCTACGACCACATATTTTTTTTAATTTTCGAATATAAATGATCGGCGATTGGATTTTACAAAAAAACCAAGTTTTATACTTTAATTAGCAGGGCTAGAATTAAATACCAAATATACTATAAAACACGCATTTTTTTGCATTTTTATTATCGAAATATACAATAATATTCATTTTATTCAATATATGCATTAATATGCAAAACCGTACAAAATAAAAACACCACCATAGCACCATTTATCTCATCATGAGGTGATTCATGGATATAACATGACAAAATCAATAATCAAAAGTCGCAAAAAAAAACATGCTGTTGCATATAAAATCTAGTCCTGATAATGAGTATAGAAATAAAGTTCTAGGAAAATTTAAATCTGTATAGAGAAATAATTTATATCGTTTTAAGTGGCCAAGCGTTGATACTGTTTATAGTGAGAGGGTAAAGGGGAGGAACAAACATTTTTAGGGGTACTTAATTAAAAAATTTATTTTTTGCCAATTTATTATATACAGTAAAGCGTTGATAGTTCGGACAAATTTAAACCAAGCATCGTCTGAGTTTCCGGAAGGTTTTCAAGATTACCTATTCAAATGACAAAGGTTTTTTATTAATTCCATCACCTTTATATTTATTGCACTTTAAATTACAAAAATACTAAATAACTTTAACATAATGAATCACAAAAAAAAAAATGTTTAGAATAATAGAACTCAAGTAAGTAATCAGTAATTTTTTTCTGAATAATACTTTTAATTTTTAAAAAACTATTAATGTATTTACGAATAAATGGATTTATGCCGTCCGGATAACCGCGTTCACTGGATTATCGGGGGTCTAAACTATCGAGGCTCTACTGTATATAGTTTCTTCAAGAATATGTTTTATATTAACTATCTTAAATAATAAATTTAAAAAATTCAATAACCAAAAAAAAAATAATAGTTTGAATTTGTAATTATTTTAATCGTTTTGGGGACACCTATCAAAAAATATTCAATAAAACTTCAAAGTTTTTCAATTAAATCATGAAACATTTATTGTAATATGGTATGGTGTAATGTTTGGTACTGCGGTTAAGCATCGCCCTGCATTGCTTAAGTCCTCGGATGATCCACTCGGATTTTTAGCGATGTCCCACATATAAGAACACTTGTTTCAAAAACTTACCGTACTATAGTACGATAACATATATTCTACCTTTACAAAAAAAAACCCACATCTAATGATCATAGTTATCGAAATTAGTAGTAATAAAAATAATTTATATTTACTTATAATATATATGCATTATGCGTGTTATTTTATGATCCAAAACACACACACACACACACACACACATATATATATATATATATATTAATATGTATATACTTATTTAAAAAAGATTAAAAAAAACAATGTTATAAACACTTTCAGTTATAATAAACATATGATGCCTATTAGATAGTGGTTCCTTACATTAGAAAGTACCAATAAACGTACAATCCTTTATATCATAAATAAAAATAATTTATACGCAATATTATTCTAATGCAATTGAAATAGGTCTTTTCTGTATAAAAGAGTCAATAACTATTTATGATAAGCCAACAAAAAAAAAATAAAAAAAATAAGCTCTATAAATTATATGTACGTATATCAGTACATTATTATTCTATTATATTAATTGAATAAGTCAAGTTATTTTTAACTACCGTTTCAAAATGTATAGCTAAAGAAAACAATCATATGTGTAAGTTTTATAACTTATTAATCATTTTTTATTATTAAGGCTAGAATTTGTATGCATTAGAATACTTTTTTCTTATTTAGTTCAAAATGTTCAAATACATAATTATGATTGTCAGTTATATCTATAATTTTACTCATATTGAATTAAATGTAACAATTTTTACTTCGTATATTTTAATCAAAATACATATAATTGCAAATATAGTTTTCGAATATTTATTTAAGAAAAATTTATAAAACATCATGTAAAAATCTAAAATTATTGTTTTATTTTATGTAAGTATATTGTTTATAAACTGATATGGTCTGTATTACATTGAGTAAAAGACAATATTTTTTCTTGGTAGGTTTGTAAACTATGGTTGTTCATGAGTTAATTTACTAATCATTAGTACGATACGTGTTTAAATTTAGATACAAAACTGTATATTCTGTACGTGACATTTTAATGTAACATTTATATAAGCAATATCGAATAATGCTTAAAGTTCAAAGTAAAGGTGATTTTAGCTATGATATTTTATTGAAGAATTGTCAAGAGAAATTTTCAAAACTGATGGAAAAATGTTTAATTGCGTTATTTGCAATCAATTTTTATATAAAATTTATTTAATGTGTGATAGAATTTATATTTTTTCTTATATATATTAATGTTTTACCATTTTTTATTGCGTACGAGTATCTTAGTAAAAATCCTAGCTCTAATTAATATTATTTTATATTTGTAAATTGTTTAAAATAATTATATTTTTTTATTAATTGTTAACATGAATTATTTTTAGTTACTTTTTAATTAGTTTTTTATTTACAATAATTGTTTAGAAATTATTATACTAAAAATAAAAAGTTGATTGAAAATTATAAAGTTTTGTTAAGTTAAGATAAATGTGTTGTGTTGATTATCGTGATTAATTTTGAATAATATTTATTGTTTAGTGATAAATAAGTAATATAAAATTATGTCATGAATGCATGAAATCAAGAGCAAAATTATAAAAACCCAGGTAATTAATTCCGTTAAAATCAAATTTTATGTCATTCATGAGTAATATAGAAAACTAATAACTATTAACATATTCAATGCCCTAATAGCAATTGCTAACGACATAATGTCAGTGAAAATTCTTCACGAATTTTATCTCATACTAGTTACATATGTAACTTAGGCACATGTTAAATATGATAAATTGGGTTTTTTTAATATTATTAAAAATTATACGCTGAATATTTTATTACGTTCGAAGAACACCGAGGGCAAAATTATATTAGATATATATCATGTATAATTGCATTGTTGTTTGTCACATTAAAATGTATTTATTTAATTTTTACATTTATCATTGTTATTATCGTATTATACAATCAGGCTGTAATAATTAATAAGAATAAGTGAAGTTTATTAGAAAGACATGATTAGTGGCTTGTTGAAAACATAAAGCGATCATCCATAGATGGTACTTTGATCAATCCGAAGTTGAGTTTTTATTTCAGTAGTATTTACGTAAGATTAACTAAAATAATATAAATTATTAATGTGTACAAGAATATTATATCATATTAGTTTATGTTCTGAATGAAGACTAATGTATATATTGGTGAAAATGCGTTTTAATGACTTTAAATTTAACATAAATATTATTCTTTGAAATATCTTATTTTAATTTATCTACTGCTTATATAAAAAATTTTAAAATATTATCTAGTATTTTATAATTGTCATAGTGACACACAAAAAAAAAAAGAACTTAACAATAACTTAAAAAATAAATGACAGTTATGCTTTAGGAGTATTGAAATATAAAAATAACACTTTAAAAAACATCAGGAAATTATAGTAACACCAAGTGCGTATTATATGTTAGAATATAATATTTGTTTAAAAAAATCAATGTATTACTACTAAAAAGCATAATATTATTCAGGATTGAAGTATTATCTTAAAAATCTTACAAAAATACGGATGACTGGTATATTTTAAAAAGTAAACAATCTTTATAGTTTCTATTTCTTTACACTATCACACACCATAACCTTGAATGTATTTTAGGTGATTAAAATAAGCATTCCTCAAACGTCATATTGTCGGATGATTATACGTAAATTGATATACTTATATAAGAAACATATTCCTTTAAGATTTCTATTTTCGTTACAAGAATATTAAGTAGTGCAGTTTAATACCTTCATTAGACTCCTATTTAGTGTATTTATGGATACGATACATTTAACATTTTCGTAAATATTTTATTACTTTTAATAAAATAAAAGTTCTCCCGAGATGTTGTACATAGATTTAGAAAAAAATTAACGTAAATTAATGTTCATTGGTTATTTGAAATATTTATTTATTAAAACAAATGAGAAACTTAAACTCAATTTATTTATTTAAATAGTGCTTACGTTCCTCTAAAAACCTCAGAATCGTTTTTAAAATATGATAGTTGTAATTTGTTATAAAAAAAAAAAAATAAATAAACAAAAATTTAAGTACCTACTGTTTTTGTATAACTAAATTGGAAATATACTCATATACAATGGTAAATGTAATTACAATATTACGTTTTAATTTTCTGTCACTGAATACTGCTATCCTTCTTTTGAACATGAATAAATGATTAAAATAAAATAAATAAATATAAAATAATAATAATTTAATTTATGTTTTCAATTAATTCTAGAAGTAAATCATTTCTCTGTTTAAAAAATTAAGTTTAATGATATCACTTAAATCTAATTTATAATTTTGCTTTTCCCACAAATTTTTTGTTCAAAGTCATTATCTTTATTGGTTCTTATTTAAATATAGGATAGTAATTACAATATAATGTAACATTTAAAAATCCTTTAAGTAACGAAGGAGTAAAGTAAGGAAACAATATTCTTTAACGTACTTAAATAATACTTATTTATAATAGAGAAAATAAATTAGATATTTTAATTGGTTTAAATTATATAAGTTATATTAATTTTATTTTCAAATCTACAATCTATGTGGGTAATATGGTGATAGAAATTAAACACTTAGACCAGATTAAAATATCTAATTAAGAAAAACTGTTTTCAAACTAATCCTTTACGGTGATACGGTATTGTCCGAGATAAATTAAATACTCGTGGATTTTTAATGTAAACTGCATAAATTATTAATACAACTGTTTAGGTTGTTTTGACCGAATATAAAAATATAAAATGTAAATCTAAAATGACTTAAATTATACCAAACAAACAAAATCCCTTTGTAAATACTGTTTAAAACAAAAAATTTAAAACTTTGGTTTCAAGATGCATACACAAATTCCTTGAGTATAACTGTATAAGATTACCTATGTACCAAATTTCAGAACCACGAGCGCAATAGACTTAACTGTGAAACGTAGAAGATTGCTTTTATATACACACACAAACATTACGTTTTATTAATATAAATAAGTTAAAATATAAAAATTCAAATACCTACTAAAAACTAACATTTATAACAAAAAATAATTGATAAATAATTATACATTATATAATAAATATAATATATGTAATATGTATAATAATATAACATAAAATAGGTACACAATTATAGATAAGACAGATATTGCTTAAGTTAAAATAAAATGTTAACGAAATTATGCTTTCATAGAAATTTTATACTTATAAAATTGTAATTGAATATAATCGGGTGATTAATAATAGTTAATATATTGTTACAATACATTACATACGTTTGAAATTGTATTACAATTTTTAAACAAATATGATAATGCTTAAAATATTTGAAAACAGAATTTAATTTTAAAAATGTTTAATATAACTAATGATTTTTTTCTAGACAACTAAGTTTGTTTTTATTTTTTAATTGTTTAATTCTTTATAATAGATAAAATGACACGTCTGTCGCGTGAAAAACGCGGAACTTAACTAAACCAAAATCTTAAATAAATGTAAACAACAGTTATAAATCATACACATGATCTACAGTTAATATACCTTTGTTAACGCGGAAAACTTCAATTGTTTTGTATACAATAGTTTTTTGAGTACAAAACAGTTTAATAACATGTTTAGATTTAGTATATACCTACAGACTTGCAGATTATTATTTAAGTGTTTGTACTCTTACTTGATGTTGGAAGAGCAAAGACTAGATTTTTAAATTCAATAAAATGACGAATAGTAATTTTAATTTGTATTTCTTGGCACTTGTACTTTATATAACTAACATACGTTCGGAAACTGATTTATATACACAGTCGAGAAGACCACGTAAGTCTAATCCAAATAATATAGTAAAAATAATTAAAATAAACAACATTTTTTTTCAGATAATATATTACGAACATGTCATCGAAGTGATCCAAATTTGAACGACTGTATAAAAGGTGCCATCGAAGACCTAAGACCGCAATTGGCAAGAGGTAAACCATTCATTTATTGCTATTTATCATGTATCAATAATGATATTAAAAATACGTATTACTATTTCCTTTTAAATAATGCATAGTCGTAAGCTAAAAATAGTTACATCAAAAAAATACTCATATTAATTTTAATTTTAAATTATGCTATTAACCATAAACATATAATATAGTATATCGAGTTATAAATGATCATGGTTTAAGACTATTGATTCATCAATTTTCATATGATTAATCGTCTTCATATTTTACATAATTTGAATATCTTATTTCAAATTAACCACTTTACACATTTTGAATCGTGAACATATTGTGCCTTCACATTTTTCTCTAACAATAATATTAATAACAGCATTAATTTTAATGATTTGTAACGAAAAATTTTAAAAAAAATATGGCTTACTCATCATCTAACTTCAATTACATTATCACGGTAAAATAATAGAACAGAAATATTGATATTATAAAACAGATATTAAAATACTTATAAAAAAAAAAAACACGTGATTTAAAAATATGTACATGAATATTTGGAATTCTAATTTACATATGGTATAAAACCGATAGAATTAATACTCGTAACGATTAGGTAATTTTAAACGATTTATTTCTTTGAAAATCTTATATCCATGAAATTTATAAATATACTGAGGACTAAAATATAATTTTTTGTGAACCCGATAATTACTTTTAATCAACTTTGTGTTTTAAACCCTTTGTTACTAGTATTAATATCTTTATTCTAATTTATTTTTATCAGGAATCCCAGAATTGTTTATACCCTCCTGTGAACCACTTTGCATACCTGAAATTGTGATGAACCAAGGTAACAAAGGAAGTGTCAGTGTACAATCAATTTATCGAGATATTCGTGTGTATGGTCCAAGTCAATTTATTTTAAAAAATGTCAAGTAGGTTAAATATATTTTTTTATAGTTAAAATTCTATAAGAAAATATTTTAATTAAATGTTTATATTTTCAGTTAACTTTATTTTTTAAAACATTGTATTTTTCATAAATCTAGTATATTTTTTAGTTAACATTAAAAATAATATAGCCTATAATCTTTAACTACAAAATGTAGTCTTTCAATTCTAAATACACATGATTAAATTGCGTTTTATTATTTTACTATGATGATCATTCAGAGTGGATTTGGAAAAAGAGAGAATTCGAATAAAAGTATGGTTACCTTTTCTGCATATGACAGCCAATTACACAATCGAAGGCAGAATTTTAATGTTACCCATTTCTGGAGCTGGTCTAAGCGAGGGAAATTATAGTAAGCCATTTTAAGCATATTTTATTTTTATTGTATTTAATTTTGTTTTCCTGATATTTTAGCAAATATTGAAGCTAATGTCCTCGTTCAATGTAATACTATTCAAATTGGAGGTAGAAAACACTTCAATGTTCAAGATGTAGCCATTGATTTTCAAATCGGTCATGCAAGTATTTACCTCAGTGACTTGTTTGAAGGCGACAGGGAACTAGGTAATACTTATATATACTTAAAAATTACTCGTAACTGTAATCCACTTAAGTTATCTCCATATAATATCAATTCAACTACAAAATAAAAATACAAAATGTTTTTAATTTATCACATTAATTATTTATAAATATTTAAATATTTTGAAAACCCCTATTGAACAATTATTATAAAATATTTATGCCCATTCACATAATTATTATATAATTTATACACGAAAATCTTAGTTGAATTATAATTTAAATTTAAGTGTTGTATATTTTTTATATTTAACAAAAAAATCAGAAAATTTCATTTTAAAGAAAACTTTTTAGATTATTTTTATGCATCTTTTGCGTCATAAGCGCATTATAATAAGACTTGGCAAAAACAACTTAATGCGTAACATTGAAAAATCAAAATAAATACATTAATTTAAAGTAAAATATTTTTAAAACACATAATATTATTTTAATTAAATTAAATTGATTTTTAATAATTGTGTTCGCAATGTATAAATACATAAGACATAGGTAAATACAAATACAATAAACATACTAAATATGCATAACAATTAAACCTACAAAAAAATTTTTATATTTAAGTCAAACAATAATAATGTATTAATAGTATTATCATATTTACTTTTTTTGTATAATAAAATTTATAATCTGACATTTGTACGGAACATGGATAGATATAATAAAAAAATATATATGACTTATGATATTTACAATTTACTTTTCATAGTATTTATTTAATTTGATTTGATTTTTTTTTTTTTTTTTGCTTAGGTGAAGCGATGAATACGTTTTTAAATGATAATTGGAGACATGTTGCTCAAGAATTCAAACCTATTCTCGAAGAAACAATTGGTGATTTATTCAAAAAATTCGCCAACAAACTGTATCACACATATTCATTAGACGAATTACTACCAATTTAAGTAGTATTGTGTATTAAAAAATAATCAATAAATGATGTGTAAATATTTGGTGTCATTTTTTAAATTTTTTGTATTTATATTTGTATTATTATTTATTATTTGTGTCATTTAAGGTTTTTCAATTATAACAAATAATACGTTTAACCACATTAAATACTTGTTATATTATTTTTAAAATTGCATCTTTCGTTATACCACGTTACATAGTATATACTCGATAATTCGGTATTAAAAAATAATAATAAATGTATATATATTATATATATGGTAAACGTAAACCAATCAGACGTACCGAACGGCGGACGGCGGACGGATAAAAACTTTCTCTGTCGACAACGTTCAAACTAGTCTTCTTCGGCGCTTGTAATATTACGCCGGTCACAAGTATTACGCCAACATTCTGTGTGTCCACTGTCGAGTACGGATTTGGTCTGTTTTATTTCCTTCTCTCAAACGATTTCTGGAAGATATATTTTGTATAGGTTTTGTGTTTCAATCGTCGTTTGTCATTAACGCACATACAACACCGTATATCCGAAAAGCCGTAATCACAATACACCTGTAAACAACATACAACTCTGTGAACTACCTAACATAATGCTGCTTATTACGGCAATAGTCGTGTGCGCCACAACCCTTGGTTGTATAGTGATGATTCAAGCCACCAACAACCAAAAGCCGATTCAACAAGACCAGATACCGCCACTTCAAACCGCTCGTAAGACTTATTTATTGTAATTATTATTATTCATTATAATTTTTCCAATGGATATTAATTCACAGTTGTATTTTAACATTATTTGGTTATTGGGGGGCACACTTTATTTTCATTTGAGTGATGATATTTAATTCTCAAACTTGAACCAAGTTAACCTGACAAATCACTTTTTCTATATGCTCATATTATTTTTAATTTAAAAATATATTGCGACATCAAAATCGTATTTGGTGATCAAAATCGTGTATCGTTATATGGATCGAATTCGATCTTCCTTCTAAAATATAATATACAAATATATTAACATTAATTTTAATTTCTACTGGTAACTACCATACTACATGTAATTCAAACGTACAAACATTCGATTTGCATCTTCTCGGACCTCGGGTAAGCTGCTGCATATGCCTGCACGTCGATTATCAAGCAATGATAAAATATTTATGTCATACATATTATTCAAAAGAACTTAAAAATTAATGAACGAAATAATAAGTAAATAATATAGAACATTTTAATAGGGTTTACCAAGCTCAATATTGTTACTACTTACTACTACTGCCGACCCCGAGTGGCATTTCGCAACAACCCCGCGCGTTCGTAATTTCTTTAAGCATTCCACGCACGAATTTACTTCCTAAACAGGTCAAAAACATTCGGTTTACACATCATAACGCACAAGGCGACAACCATTGACTGGTGCCTGACTAGGTCGTGTACATCATAAATCATCGATTTTTATTTTCCAGAGTTGGCTCCTGTAATTCTGTTAATAAAATAATATACCTATAATGTTTTATTTTTTTGACCGCCTAATGCCTAAATAATAATAATATACGGATTACATAACATTCTGTTAGCAGCACACATCCCATACATCATACACATAAAATTATACTCATTAATCATTATATTATTATAGATATATAGGTACTGCAGAATTTATGTACACACTACATAGATGGGTACGTATAGGTGCTACTACAATAACATGAGTAATAACCATGTAATAACCAATAAGTAATAAACCAATAGCGAATATTTTAATATTATGTATATATAAATATTAGGTATATACATAGTAGTTGTAGTCACCGCGCGATCGCAACCGTACACGATCGTGTCCCGATCGAATTATGTAAGAACGAACGTTTATTTTTTTTTTGCGACGTGTGTATATAATAATAATATACGTGAACGTATAATAGTAGTTATTACTTGTTTGTTTATTATTATAAAAAATCGCCTTGGAGCGAACATATTATTATTATAACCTGCTGTTGCCGCTGCTAGTCCGGCGATCAACCCATTAAGTAAGCGCCCTCATTAATGAAAGTACGTTCGAAACGTCTGTAATAAAAAAAAATTTCCTATTTCTCTCTCACTCATTTTTCTCCTTATATTTTATGTGATCCCGCTCGGTCCCAGTGAAAGCGAACCACACGTGTCCAACGACACCGTGAGTTTGTAGCAATAGTAATTTAAAGATTATTACCTATACTATCATAACCATACATATATTACATACGTAATTATATATTTAGCTATATACATCGTATACAGTTGATTATGCGGATGAAAACGATTTCGGAAGACATGATACCGAAGTGGATTAAAAGCATATTATAAAAATATTAACATTACATTATATAGATACCGTAAAACAAACGTAAACGCTTTTCGATGTTTCTATTTATGTAACGACTAAAAACTCGGTGCAGAATATTTCGATCATCGAAATACTTATAAATATAGCCAGTATACGAACTGCGGGGTTATAAACACAAAAATGTGTATGTTGAATAAAGCGTACATATATACCTATAATAATATTGTATGATTACCTACTACCTACAGGCAACATTACGTTAATACTTACAGAGATGCTTTAAGACGACTATTCTGCACTACTAAATTACACTCTTATAAATATTTAAATAATAAACAAAAAATCAGAATTCACCTTCACGATTCATCTCTTATAACTCAATTTCAAATTTAGATTCAATAATCATTTATCATTTCACTAATTTTCTTTCTTCCGTTCTAAATAATTTATCACTGAAGGTATAGTTTCTCCCAAATCTATTTTTGTTCGATAATATTTCCACACTTATAATTATCTTCATTATTAACTCCTATAATTCTTTCATTAGCTTAATTTTCTTTTATAATCTTTCATATAATTAACTAGTGTTGTAATCATTCATAATATTTTATTATTACATAAAATATGTATATCCATTGTTGAGCTACAAGTTATAACAGAAGTCAAAAATTAGTATTAACTAATGGACAATTATTAATAAAATAAAATAAAAAGATTTTATCGATTATCGAAAATAATAATTTAAATAATACTGAAGTGTTTTAAAAGTTTTTACGGTAAATACTTCTTTGATTACATTAAAAGATTAAAATTATTTGATGAAAAATTCTTATTTTACGTATATGAATATCCTAGTTCAGTGAATTTTAACTTCAGATACTCATAAAAAATATTTATGCATTAACAATTAAATTATATTCATTATTCTTATAATAAAAACTTACGTATAACTTTATACTAAATTTTCAAACTTAGGATATACAAAATACTAAAAATTATATGAATTTCTAAGTACACGGTCTATTATTAAGTTATAAAAATTTTACTTTAAATAACATTTGAATTTATTAGATCATTGTAAAGTAAAATTAGCAAATTTCAGAATTTTCGAAAATAAAACACTTATAAAAATTTACTGTAGAATTATGCTCAAATTTTTTTCATAACTAATATTTCTCAACTAATGAAATCCCATATTTTGCATTTTAAAATATTTTTACTATACATAATATATACATTTTTTTTAAATTTTTAAAACAAAACAGAAAATTTCAAATTTGTAAATAGCTTAAAATTTTTTTTAAAGATAATACCATGTATAGAAAATACTAACAAAAATATTTTGTGAAAATTTCAAGCATCTAGACTCAAGAGTAATTTATTTTTAGATTACAATAAATTAAGAAAATCGATTTAGGATTTTACTAATCTAACTTGAATCTTTATAATTTTTAACAATAAATACATTATAGACACAAACTATAAAATACATTATTTACCATTAATATTAGCAATTTATATAAATATATATATTATGACTCCTGACATTCTGTCAGATGTCACTACAATTGGCAATTAAAAGATTTATTGTTTTATCAATTTTTATACTGATTTGTTATAGCTGTTTGGTTAAATGCCTGCAAAAAGAAAGACCCGAATTTGGACGAATGTATCTGTATGACTTTTCAAAACATGTTTCCTTACTTGGCGAAAGGTAAAATACGTATAAATATAATGTAAAATAAAAATCAATTATTAAACTTTATTTTAAAATATTACTCTGGATTAGGTATACCGGAAATTGGAACCAGACCGTTCGAGCCAATGAATATTGAAAAAGTGTCTTTAACTAAAGGCCAAGGTGCCATAACATTATCCGGAGCATTCACAAATCTTATTGTCCACGGACCAAGTAATACAACTGCTCTGTATACAAAGTATGTTAATTTAAAGAATTTAAAATAGAAACTACGAACTATAAAAATATTATTTAATGAATAATAATTTCAATTATTTATTAAGTATTAATTATAATGATAATATAATAGTAGATACGCATATACAATAAAACCTTTATTGTGTGGAATTGCACGGGGCCAGTAAAAATTTTCGTTTTAGGCAGGTTTCCATACAACTGAATAAAAAGGAAAATTCCGTACCAACAGAATTACAATATTCCGCATGATTAAGATTTAAGGTTGTAACATTTTCAAGCTAATAATAAAAATTAAAATATTGAAAATTAATTAATATCAAAAAGCAACAATAAATTTTAATTTTAATTAAATTATTACATAACACATGTTAATAAGATATTTCAAAATAATGATATATTAAAATTTCAAAAAAATTACAAAATTTGAAAAAACATATTTAGTATAAGTATTAATTAAATAAAGTAAGCAGGTTTTAATACAATCCAAAATTCAAAAATTCGTGTAAAGTTTTTTGTCTGGTTTTTTTCTCTAACAATTAACAACTTAATATAACTTTCATTTTTTCATTTAAACTTAAACAAATCTTTGAAGACATTGTGAGAACAAATAAAACGAGATAAAACGACAGGAAAACTACGACTACGGTGTGATAATAATAACTAATAAGCATTGATGATATAGATTCAAGATAAAGTATTATTATCTATCGATACATATTAATTTCTGACATTATAATTTTTTATTAATAGCAAAACAAATATAGGTATCAAGAATATATTTTTTGTTCATTTTATGGTATGTTTTTCTGTTTGTTAAAGGTGTACTTGATTTATGGGACCAGAAAATATAGCTTTCCGTTTTATATTAGATAGGTTCCGTTTTATCAAGGATTTAAATCTATGTTAAATTATAGAAATCTGCTGGGATCATAATAAATGTTCACACAGAATAGGATTCCGTTTAATCAAGGGTCCGGATAAGACAGGTTTTACTGTAATAATATAAGTAGTAGAAACAGAAAATTATAAAAAATATAAACATAAATACATATGTACTCGTAATTATTATATACTAAATAAATCCAAAATTACTCTATTTATTAAATAAATTACATTACTTAAATTAAATTAATTTCATTAACTGTAATAAAGTTTAAGTTGCTATAGCCTATAATCAAGAATAGCTATTTTACTTCAATCGCCGTAATATTTTATTCAATGTAAAATACAATTATTAACTTATTGTTAAATTAAATCTTTTTAAATATTCTTAGAAAAATTGTTATTTAATAATTGTTTAAAACAAGAACCATTTTACTCTAATAATTATATTGTATTTTTCGATAGTACCTGTTACCGATTTCAATTTTCAATCAAACTTTTGTCTTGTATAACATAATAACGTCATGCAAAAATCTGACCAATGTAGCTTCTTCGCTCCTAAATAAATCAGGCTACAAATCTATAATATATAATATAGTTAACATATATATATATAAATAATTATAAAATCTATGTTTTAGAGGTAGGTAAGTATTCAAAATATTTCATCCCGTGACTTCATTATCTCTTTACAATATTTTAGTAAATCCCAAATTATCAAATATACAGAAGATGTACATTTGTACAATATTCAAATGTGTTATTTATTAAATGAAATCCCAAAAAATATTTTGGCTATTGTTGCATGCATTTGAATTTAAAATTCACATAATATACAATAGGTAACAATTGTGTACTTTTAGGATGGACTTGGTTAAAAATCGTCTAGACATTGGTCTATTCATACCAACAATCAAAGTAGAATCGAAATACGATCTGAAAGGAAATTTGTTATTATTACCACTGGTTGGTGTAGGTGATGCTAAACTATACCTGAGTGAGTATTAAATAAAACGTAAACTAAAAACGTTATGATATAAATATTATATTTGCTAAATTTTTAGAAAATGTAACTACGCACGTACAGACAAAAATCTACTTCCCAAAATATATGAACGAAACTGTGATGGTGGCTAGCAGTATGAAAGTAGACTTTAATTTAGCTGCAATGCGAGCCAACTTTGACAATTTGTTCAACGGCAATAAAGTATTGGGTTAGTAAAATCTTATAAAATTACTTAGCTTTAGTAAAACCATAATACACATATGAATCACTATAAATATAAAAAGGGACATGTCAACGATTTATGGTATTGTTCAATTATCAAAATGTCCCGATTATGATTTCTTCTTTTCTTCACAGGACGAACTGTTAACACGTTTTTGAACCAAAACGCGTTGGAAGTGGTAAACGAACTAAAAGAAAATATAGGTGAAAATCTATCAACTATATTTAAACAAATTATGAACGATGCATTTAGTCACATACCAACAAAACTGTGGCTTCAAGATGATTAGTTGGCTTATGATGTAACTATATTATATTGTGAGCATTGTTGTACATATAGCCTATTTCGAATTATTTTAACGTATGTATTATTATTATATTCGTGATTCGTAATGAATAATGATAGTTAATTAATTATTGTATTTTGTACTTTTTATTTCCATAACCATGTTACTATTTGTATGTATTACTATTATTAAAAATGTATGACGAGAAATAAAAATCAATAATATCTATGCCTTCCTATAAATTCTAAAACGAACAAACTAAAATTTAACTGAAATATATTAAATCCTTTCACTTTTCTATCAAGTTAAATTCATGTGATGAATTGCTATTGTATGTTTCTAAAAATTGACCTTCACAGTTGCAATAGAAATTATTATTACATCTGACATAATTTATGAAACGATACGACCATACAAGTATAAAATATTAATACACATCGTAACTTCATGTTTATTAATACAGGTAAATTGGTAAATACTATTTAGTATATATTTTGATATTTTGACAAGTAACAATAAGTGACAACATTAAAATAGGATAGTAAGATAACCTAAATTGAAGTATACCACATACCTACTATAAGAGTGTAAGTACCGACTATAATGTGTTTAAGACAAATAAGCTAATATTCTCACACCATAATTTATATCTATTTACCAACCATTGGCACAAATTTTGCATATATTTACTAAAAACCAATTGCCAATTGTTTATAATTGATTTGAAAAATATAAGTACCTACATATATATAGTAAAAAAAAAAAAAACTATACAAAAATTGCTTTAGATGTTTCGTGTACATAATTTAATTTTTCACACATACCTTAAATATTATACATAAATATATGTATATATATATATATAAATATTTAAATAAATGAAAAAATAGAACCGTCACGTTCAAAGTTTGTCGGTACAAAGAGACGTGATGCCTCTTCTTCGTCGCATTACATTATATAAATATACAAAGAACTTATAATATATATGTTTTGAACACATGAATAATATTGTGTCAATTACTTGACAAACATTGATAGTTAAATAGGTACGTTGAAATAAATTTAAATCATGACAATGTTTTATGGGTATCACAATTTTAAATAGTGTTAACTTTTCAAATAGATGGCGCATCAATAGCTAAATTTTTCCCTTCACATACTCTGTCATGGCATAGGTACAACCACCTCGGTTTAAGCCATAGAATACTAATGTTACATGTTTTAAGGTATATGTATATCCGTGGTAACAACACCGTTGTCAGTCCTACTATCTTTGTTCTTGATGATAAAACATTACAATTTGATATTATTTAGATTAACTATTAAGATAACAAATGTATACTAAACAGTCTAAACATTAAACAATAATCATCTACTAAAGTTACAACAACAATTTTTAATGTTTGTGTTCTCAAATTTATATTTTATATTCTCAACTCTAATTAACAAGTAGTAATTGAACCTAATTTCATTATAAAATAAAAATTATATTATGTAATGTAGAAAAAATAGTGAGTAAATTATTTTATTTTTTATTCCAAATGAGGGTAATTTATGTGTTAAAACATTTATTTTACTTTGAATTATATGCAGTTTGTCATCATTATTCTGTGATTTGAATCTAAAATATTGTTATATTAAATAGGCTATCAGTTCCAATCTTATTCTTATTTTTAATTATTTATTTCTGATGTATCAATTTAGCTGGGAATAAAGTCTGTGGAATACCATTTATTAACTAATATTTCTTAAGCATGAGCTTAACATTTAACATTTACATTTTTATAGTTTGATAAAATAACTCAAAATTACACAAAATAATTATTAATTTTCAAACTTACCTCTAGAGTCTCATAATAAGACCTAATTAATAAAATAATAATAATTTGTACAATCTATGTTTTAAATAATACGCAATTTAAAAATAAGATAATCAATAATTTACTTATATTAAACTTTTAAAATTAGGTTTGTTTGCTAAGTCTATTTCTAAGTAAAAAAACATGGATCCAGCTTTGCTTAGAGAAAGAGAATTATTCAAATTAAAAGCTTCAGCTATTCCTGTGTAAGTATATCATTATTATATATTTATCTTATTCAAACAATGATTTTAATGTAACTATTAACTATTTATATTATACTGTCATTATAGAGTTGAAAAAAGATTAAAAGAAGACACCAGCAACAAAGATGATATTAAAAGGAAATCAAAACCATTACCATCTATGCCCAGACCACCTTCACCACCAAATGCTTCAAGTTCATTAAAGTATTAAGTGTTTTATATCGATTTAATAAATATAAATTTATCAACTAACACTTCATTATCACTATAGTAGTTACAAATCATATGGACAAAGTTCTCAATATAAATTTGGTGTACTTACCAAAATAGTTAAGTATATTAGAGCTCGACATCAGGATGGAGATGATCATCCATTAACATTAGATGAATTATTAGATGAAACTAATCAATTAGACGTTGGAACTAAAGTAAAAACGGTACGTATGATATGTATTTATTATGTTTGTATCACAAATTAAATACCCAATTTGAATAATCATTTTTTTGTTCATCATAATTGTTTAGTGGTTAGAAACTGAAGCACTGCCAGGCAATCCAAAAATTGAACGCACATCTGATGGAAAATATATGTTTAAACCTCCTTATAAACTTAAAGACAGAAAAGCTTTGTTAAAGTTATTAAAACAACAAGATTTGAAAGGTTTAGGGGGAATTATGTTGGATGATATTCAAGAATCATTACCTAATTGTGAAAAAGCTCTTAAGGTAAAAAAATAAATACTAATTAAAAAAGTTATGTTGTACATCTTATTTATAGAAAATATTTAATTATTATTTAATATATATTTATTTTTATTAAAGCACCTACAAAATGAAATATTATATGTTTGTCGGCCTGGAGATAAAAAAAAAGTTATGTTCTACAATGACAAATCTGCAACTATTGATATTAATGAAGAATTTAAAAAAATGTGGAGGAGTATTGCAGTAGAAAATATGGATGATGAAAAGATAGAGGAACATTTGGAGAAACAGGTTTATTTACCACAAAATTAAATTTTAAAACAGCTTACTAAAATTATATATAATTTTTTTTTTAGGGTATAAGTTCCATGCAAGATAATGGTATTAAAAAAGTAAACCATGTTAAACGGAAAAAACCAGTGACCAAGAAAAGATTATCTAAGAGACCAAGGGATAATGAACATTTGGCAAATGTTTTGGAAGATTATGATACACTGTAATCCTTTATATAAGTATGTTTATTCATTTTATTGTACATTAATAAAAAAAAAATTGTATACTAATGATTTGTTATAAAGTGCTCAATTATATTATTAATATTCAAAACAGCTTTTAATCGTAGAGGTATTGTTCCTAAGCTTACTAGTTTATCCGGTCTTTCGGCTTCTTCAATCTTAGTAAGACTAAATAATTCCTAGAAAAATGACAACAATATTAACTGAAGTTTTAAAGCTAAAGATAAATCAATTTACCTTGTGATGTTTGTCCTCATTGGCTTTTAACAATTCATATCTTTTATTATTAAAGATTAAAACAACACGTCCGGATCTATAATATTGAACTTTACCTATTGGTTTTGTCTTAAAAACAGCTTCTGAATCATTCTGGAATTCAAATTTTTTTATTTTTTAACTGTTACATAATATTTGTATCAGCCATTGGTATTTCAATAATTACTTCAGATTTTAAATGGCCGTTATATTCCATTTTTATAGGTGTTTCTGGTTTTAATTCAACAGGTATTTGATCATTGTTATAATTTTTGCTTAGATTATTATTTGCAGTCTTTGGTTGAATACTAAATGAACTGTCGTAGAACTAATAAAAATCAATTAATTATTATATTAATTAAATTAATTATAGTTTATAATAGATAACACACTACAATAGAAAACATTGTATTTAATAAAAAGTGAGTATTGTTAAATTAAGTTTATGATAATAAGCTCTAGAGCACGTATAATATTGCTCTAGAAGCAAAAACTAGCAATTATATTATTAGATTATCGATCAAACTAACTTTTAATATATTTTAATAAATCAAGTAGTAATAAGTAGAAAGTACCTGCAAAGTAATTAATAATTCAGGAGAAATTAATTCATTTAATGAAGGATAAATATTCTTCTGGTATGGATATTCTAGATTAATTTCTGACTTAATTTGTGGTATCCTATCTAAAACAAACATTTAGATCATTTTTAAGTTAATATCAGTATATTTTTGTGTACCTTTTCTTATAAAAGGTAATCGAACTGGTCCATGAACCTCATCCATTGGGTCATCCATATCAAATTGATTATTTTCAAACATTTGCATTTGTTGTATGCTTTGACAAGCTTCTTTTTTTACCTAAGTAAATTAAAACAGATACTCCAAAATTAAAATACTCAATACAAACTAAATATCAGTATAATGCTCACATAAGATCCTGAACTGTTAAAACTACCATGATTTGAATAAGATCGAAAACCAGATGATGATCCCATTCGTGATGAACCTGACCTACCTTGGCTTGTTGAACTCATGTTGGAAAACACACTTTGTATCTAAAATAGAATCTAATTTTATAATTCTATATTATAAACAAATAATAATATTAATAATTAAATGTTTTTCTTCTTTAAAAATTATTTTTTAAATATCATTTTTGTACACATATTTTAAGAAAATTCTTTTTAAATATTAAGTTATAATGTTAATATTTAGTGATCAAATTAAATACAAACCTGAGTTGTAGATCTTTCTTTAGTTTTTTTTTGTTTTTGTGTTGATGGTAATTGAGCATTTGAATTAGCATCATGTTCAACTTTGACCTCAACCTTGGATAGTTGATCTGAATCCTTGGCTACAATTCTACAAAATAATTGTAATATTAAATATTATAACTTATTGAAAAATTGTTAATTTTTAATATTTGTTATTATTATACAATAAGTAAAATTAATTATTAATAATTATTAGATTGCATGAAAGTTTGTGGTTGAATGAATTATTTTGTAAGTAATATTTTTAAATCGCAACCACATCAGTTATTTCAGGATGTCTCATCGAATATACTTTCAAAACTTTAGGTCTTCAACTAGTGGATTTAAGAGGGTATCAAATTTGAAGTATAGGTAAGTACTTCAACATTATTAGTGAATAGAGTTTAAAAGGATACATAGAAAGAGGATTTAATGACTTTAGATTGAAATATCTGGAATATTTTAGCATTTAATGGTTATGCGATTCCCAAACTTGTATTCGATAGTTCTACGATGGTTTAAAAAGGAACTTGTAGATAAATATTTTAATATTTAAGTTGGTGTTTTTAGACATTAGAATATATATAGCCACCTATATCTACCATTTAGTAGTTTTATTTTTGTATTTATGTGTGGTATCCAGATGAAGCAATAGTCAAATGTTACTCTTAAATTATGAGTACTTTATTGCAGTGGTAAAGATAAGTGATTTAAGTATGAAGAAGTATATTATCAGAGTTATACAGAGAAACTACAATGCATTAAGTAGCTTTTATTAACCTAGAATTTAAATTCATTGTACCAAAAATATAAGATCTCTGAGTGTGTTTGTATACATCAGCGTATCACATAATTTTTAGGGATCAGTATATAATGAGAACAGTATTTTTAATCAGCAGTCTCCTATGATAGTGTAGGTTTGAACACATAAGCAATGCATACATTTAAAAATATAAGAACAATACTACTCCTTAAAAGTTAAAAAACACACTTTTCGATTCCAGTAATGGGAGTGAGAGTAATGCCTGATCGCTCAGAAATGTATCATTCCTATATTTACAATTTTATTTGAGAAGACATTTTGACAGTGAAAATAAAGGTTACAACTTAAGTGACTTAGAAATAAAATGTACTAAAGTATTGATTCCACGCGGATTTCAATTATTCTATGCTTACCCTACATCCAAAAATAAACTAGTACATTTATTATTTTCTGAGAATCTGAGACATGAAAAATATAATAATTATAGAAAATTGTCAGTGAAAATATTAATTTACCTTTTATAGCCTAAATTTGGAGTAAACGAAATTTTTGCTGCCCCAAATTTGGGCAAATTTTTTGAACGTTTGTCCATTTCAACTTATAAATGGTTCAGCAGTTATTTAATTCTATGAAAAACATGTAACAATTATGATTTTAAGAATGAACACCATTAACAATAATAACATTTATTTTGTTGCATGATTTTGAATTAGATCGAAACTTTTAAGCTATCTTGCTTTGCTTTTAAGTTTCTTAATATTACTGTACTTTGAAAGCTCTAAATAGATAAAAGGATAAAAAATAGTAAATACACACTAATTCAAAGCACAGAATATAAAAATTCAAAGACTGCAACACCAATACAATCGTGATTCGTGATCAGAACATTCAGATATTCAGAACACAGAAAACTGTTAGTATCACATTATCATTTCATATATTTTTAAGGTTATGTTGATTTTTGAGTGTTGACTGATATGAAAATTTTTTAAATTATTAGTAAATACAATTTCAAATATTGTTCAATTTTTAAAAATATAAGCAATATTATTTTATATCTATTTAGTGTGTAATTTAGAGTAACTAAATACTTAAGTGTATAAAACCATAAGACAGTAAATAATGTAATTTTTTCAAAAAAGTTGATAAATATATGAATTTATACAATTATGTCTAAGGAACCTAGCACTAGCAAGGAGAAACGGAAGAATTTACGTAAAGACGACGGTTCTAAAATACTAAAAGTTCTTACATTATACGAATACCTCATCAAACTTCCAGAAGCTGTTCAAGATCGGTTATACAGTCATCCGCCGACTTGCCTTACAGTGTTTAGAGTTTTACCGGACATTGCCCAGCAATTTACTTTACGTATTTTATTCATCGAACAGCCTGTGCCGCAATCAGTTCTTTCATCCTGGGTGCCGGCCAATTATTCCCGCGAACTTGACGAATCAATAGAAGTAGCCACCAATTTACACATATGGAAATTAACTGGCGTGTCTGGTGGTCTCAAGGGATGGATTCTAAATTCTACATTCAAAAAGAAACTTAAAGTAGCACTTATGGGTGGCGGTCGTTCTATGATAGCTAACAGTGATGTGATCGCCGATCCAAAAGCGAGAGATATAGACTTTCTAGATTCATATGCATATGAACGATGGGAATGCATATTACATTATATGGTTGGTTCTAAACATGAAGGTATATCATCAGATGCAGTCAGAGTATTACTAAATGCAGGTCTTATGGTAAGTAATAAGTTCAACTATAATATAATTCTATTAGATACTCAATGTTATTATATTTTAGGTCAGAGATACAGATGATAGTCCAGTGATTACATCAACAGGATTTCAGTTTTTACTTTTGGATATGGCAACTCAAGTATGGTACTTTATGCTCCGTTATATGGAAACAGTAGAATCAAGGGGGCTTGATCTTGCTCAATGTCTAACATTCCTCTTTCAAATACATCTTGGTACTTTAGGATGGGATTATATTACTGACGAAATGTCTGAAAACCTTCAAGCATTTTTACAACATCTACGAGAATTTGGATTAGTTTACCAAAGGAAACGTAAAGCTGGACGTTTTTATCCTACTCGATTAGTAATTGAAATGGGACAAGGAAATAGTCGTACTTCAGAACGAATGAAAACTAAAGAACGTTATATAGTTGTAGAAACCAATTTTCGAATTTATGCTATGACTGATTCTGATCTAAAAGTTGCTTTAGTTGCATTATTTACTCATATGCTGTACAGGTAATAATTATTATAAAAATAGCCTAAAAACATTCAAAATAAATATATATTTTACTTACCTTTTCTTGTTTTAGATTTCCAAACATGGCTGCTGGTATACTAACAAGAGATTCAGTTCGAACGGCATTACGTAGTGGAATTACTGCTGCACAAATAGTAAGATTTCTTACCGTTCATACTCATCCACAAATGCAAGAATGTGGAATGCCGCAAACTGTTATTGATCAAATTTATTTATGGGAAAATGAAAGAAATCGACTTACATACACAGATGGTGTGTTATATAGCAATATAAATACACCTAATGATTATGAAACAATAAAAAATTATGCTGCTGAAATTGGGGCATTGGTATGGTGCGATGAAAGAAGAAGAAACATTGTTGTAAGTACTGATGGACACGATGATGTAAGAAAGTTTTGGAAAAAACAACCAAAATCTGATCCATTTTAAGTGTTACATATTCTGTATTCAATGTTCAATTGTTCACTATTATTATGATTTGAATGGTTATTGAATAGCACTAATAATTCAACAGCCAAAGCTTGATTGATTATATGTGCAACTAATAATAATTGTGTACGTATAATCCATAATTAAATTTTCATACTAAAAATATGTTTTTATTTATTCAATTTATGTATTTTTTAAAATAAAATTTAAAAAAAAAGTTTTCTTATGTTATTATTTTTTTTTTTAAACTAAATCAGTTTAATATGTAATCATATAACACATTTTCAAGTAACTTACGATATAAAAAATAAAACATAATCATAATCAATTAATTTAAATGATAAATATATAACAAATTTAAATAAAAAGGAGTAAGAAGGTAACTGCCCTATTATACAAATAGGTGTCAAATAAACATTATTGAGGAGAAAATTACTGTAATGTTTGTGTTAAATTTAAATTCAGTAATAAATCATTGCATTCAAAATACAGTTCTAAATTAAAACTGTCTGTCAGCCTATACTACTAAATAATAAATATATTGTATGATAATATGATATATTACTATTAAAATTACAAAATTTTAAATGCTTATAAATAAATATAATGCTTGTGTAACTTTAATATTTTTTTATAATTTTAATCTTAACTCACGAGAAACTTTATATTCAATTTATACTTATATTAATATTTAATTATATTTCTATAATCACAGTGGTGGCACCGAGATTTTTTTCCAAGTAGGGCTAATGTAAAGCCAACAATTAAAAGGTAAGACCACAAAAAAATGAGATTTAAGCAAAAATTATATAAAATGTTATTTGAAAAATAATATTATATAATTTTTAAAAAATTATAAAATATAATATAGAAATATATTAATCTAAATTACGTACAGACTGTACAGTGAACAAAATACAAATACCATTACTTTCTATTTATGAAAAATGAGAATATTATTATTATATCTAAGGTTAGGCCAGTGATAAGGCCAATGTTAGGGTCAAGCATTTTCAGGTAGGGCCCTCCTTTCTGGCTCGTCACTAGCACCGCCACTGTATAATCAGCTTGTTATCGAAATATCTTGAAAATTTTATTATGATTGAAAAATACTAATATAAACATTTGTTAAAAATTTCAAGTATCTACAGTTTTTCATTTTTGAGTTAAAAATATTCTATTTTGTAAAATACTCATACTGCATAAAAAAATCCTGTTTTACTTTTATTTTTAATATATCTGAATTTTTTTACTTTAACTCCATACAGTACCAACTAGATCTAATTTGCTACCTAAAATCATCTCTCAGATTTAAAAATCAGAGTGGTTTTACTGACCAGAGAGGTGACGACAGACCCTCAAAAAAGAAACACATCATTGTTAAATTAATATTAATTCCACTTAAAATCTAAAAAAAAAAAATGTATATGTGACTGTTATGATATATGGTGTTGGTGTTACTAATAAATATATAAAAATAATTCAATATAAATGTATAACATTATATAAGTTTAAAAATAAATATTAGTGCTTGCATTTAATATATTTTTATTTCTTATAAAGTAATTATTTTTAATACAATAAAAATTATTATAATATAATTAATATTTCATCAAAATACAAATTGGTTACTTATCATTTAAGATAAATCTACATAACACAATTGATTTAATTAATAAACAATATAATAAAACTAAGTCTCATTTTATTTAATCGTAAATAAAGTAACAATACTAATTTCTAGAGATCATCAGAAAAAAAATCAGTATTTATAATGATGTTCTGTTTTATTTGATGTTATGAGAATTATAATTTTTATATAATTGTGATGTCCTTAACAATACAGTCTTTAGATATTATTTATGTTGCTTAATTAATGTTATTTCATAAGCATAATTATCAATATCTGATAAATGAGATAATTTAAAGCAATTACTATTTTATCTATTACAAAAGTTGTATTTAATTAAATTTATTTATTTAGATTGTCATATGAAGGCAGTCCTTAATATATTAAACCTATGGAAGACAATATGATTATTTTGTATGAAAAATAAACTATTTTAATAAAATAAAGTTATAAATTGATAAGATAAACGAAGACGATATTATGATAGAATGGAAAATTAAATCAATTACTAATTAAGTATTTATAAAAATTAGGTATATTAAATTATCTGACAATTAAAACCAAAATTTAAATAACCTTAAAAATCAACACTTGAACACCTACTCATTAGTTTTAAATGGTAACAAATAATAATACATTTCTGTCATAAATATAATCAATAATCTTTAAAAAAGTTAAAATAATATAGTTAAATATAGTTCTTAAATTAATTCATTTTGCTTCCAAGGCTTTACATTGTCTTACCCTGTATTATTGCACATTATTATCATTACTATAACTTAGAACTATTACATATTTTAATAACAATAATTGAATTCACCTCAAAATTTTCTCCTGAATAAAAAATATATAAACATATGATAAGTTGTAATTAACAAATGACTTTACAATAAAATTTCTATAATCAAAAATAATACAAATATGTGATACTAGTCATATTTTAAACAAATAAAAATGTATGCAGTTAATAAAAATATAACAGACTACCTATTCAACTGTAAAACCACAAGTTTCTTCAACTGCTTGACTGAGTTTATCAAGTAATTTTTGTTTACTTTCATATTTTGGCAAATCAAGACGATTAAAGCATGTATGTGCTTTAGGAAGATTATCAGTTGGTACATCAGTCAAGTGTATGGTAAACAAACGAGGCCCCGCAGCTCCAGTTGACCCTAAATTAAAATAAATTATATGTCAACAAATGCATATTTGTTTCAAATATTAAAATCAATATTTACCTTGAAGTGCCTTAAAACCTTGAAGAGGAACTCTAGAACTTCCAGTGACAAACTGTAATAGCCTGAGACGCATTTCTTGACTATAGTGTTGTTCAATAATTTCCCAAAACCATTTCACCACAGGCATATCAGGTGAACAATGCTAAATATAAAATATTATTAATTTAATTAACTACTTCATATTAAAGAAACAGAAAAAAATAATCACTTTGAGTCTAGTATTACGCTTCCAATCTTCAATATCTATGGTGCCAATACCACTAATAATTAATTCAATCTCACGTTCATCGAAAGGCTTTAACAATGTTCCAGGAACTACTTCAGTTAAGCCTTTTTGCAATGCCAAAAATTGTTGTTCAATGCCTCTCATAAATCTGTATGTCACGTACAATCTAAATTTAAATTTAAATTTGTATTATAGTGTTTATTAATAATATAATAGTACATAAAAATAGGTATATCATTCATTATTAACATACTTAACATATTCTTTTTTATTATCTTCTGTGAGCTGAATATTTTGTCCACCAGTTTTTAGTTCATGCAATTTTAATACACCAAAACTACTTTGTTCTACCGCAAAAGTAGTATCAATTATATCTTTTTCAAGTTTATTTTCTCTTAAAAAATATACACATATTAAAAAAAAATTATTTAGAAAATAGTTTTATTCAATTGTTTAGCTAATTACAGTATATATGTGAGACTACGATGCAATTCAGGATCTACTCCTTCTATATCTTCCAGAGTAATTGGTTTATTTAATAACATTTTATAAAAAGGTGTTGTAAATCCTCCATCAATATAGTGTCCATGAAAAATAGCAATTCCAATTATACGACCGACAAAATGGAAATAAGATAAATGTTCCTAAAATAAAAAATAATTCTTATATGTGTGATATTACAAAGTCCCTCTAAAATTATAAACAACACATACTGGATTAATTGAACTATCTGGATTTATTTGTAAAGTATAATTGTCTTCTCTGGAGTATTGAAATAACCCATACTGAGGATTAAGCATCTCATGGGATAATAAATACAACCACTCTCTTGCTACACCACCATAATCAAGACCTTCTTCACCGCGGAACTTAACCATCAATCGTTTTCGTAGGTCTTTTGGTCGCATCTTCATCACTGCTCGATATGACTCCTAAAAATTAATATTATTAGAAACCAAATAACCAAACTTAAAATATTACATACTTCAAATATTTCTGATCTTGAAACTTCTAATCTCATATGTCCTGTTTGAGGCTGTAATGCAGCCAGTTCTGTACGTAAAATTTTTTGTTTAGCTACTAAGTCACGTTTGTACTTAGGCAAACACTCTGAATCAGTCTCAATACTTTGGGGACCATCAAAAGCAGAGCCAGGAGGGCGAGGTGGAATTCTCTGCTGACTTGATGATGTTTCACTAGTAGTGAGCACTCTGGTATTGATACTAGTGTTCTCTTTATTGTTCATTGAGTTTTGTTCATTTGTCGAGGAGCTTTGATCATTTTGTTTCCTAAAAAATTATAAATGTATTAATTCAATTAAAGTAATATGTAATTGATTGACTTACTGTAATAAATTAGCTATAACTGCTGTTGAAAGTCTTGGATCCGAAAAAGTTGTGGTTCGATTATTATGATCTACATAATAATAGCGACCACTGGATGTTTGACGTACTTCCCAACCAGCAGGTAAAGGGCCAAGTTGTTGTCCTGAAGTTACACTTATATTCCTAGGAATTCTTGGATCGTGCCATGTACTCAAACCAGTTGGAGTATGATAAAAATAAATTTGTCCTTGAGGTGTTGTTCTAATTTCTGTTTAGGTAAAAAAAATTATAATTAGATATTTATTAAATTAAATCATATCAACATTATTTGATACTAACCATAACCTGTTGGCAAATCTTGTGGTTGTTGAATTGAGGAACTATGAGATGATGCATTTCTGGCAGAACTGAGTGATGCTCTATTGCTAGGATTCCTATTCCTAAACATATTCAATTATTAATTCCTATACACTTTCATAAAATTTAAAAGAAAAAGTAACTTACGTTTGTGCAGTCAAAACAACATTATTTCCATTATTATTATTTATCACATCAGATTCATTCCTTACAATTGTATCTTCTGTTGGTGTTGGTGCAGGAGGGCGAGGATTACCACTACCTGTAGTAATTTTTGAATGAGATCTAAAAATGAAATTTAAAATTATTTTCAATAAATAATACTATATTCTATTTTCATAATTTCTATGACATTTTAAAAGTTTTTTAATTTCTACATATATATTTATGTCTATTTATACATGTTGTTTTTTTTGCAACTAAAAGGTATGGTTAACAATTTTTCAATTTTAACAATATAATATGGCATCATAAGTAAATTTTTTATTTGTAGTAAATATGGTTAATATTAACAAACCTAAAAATGTTGTACTATCCATAAAAAAAATTCTACCCGTATTGTACAGATACCTTCTAAGTTATATTTATTATTTATAAATCAATTATTTCACTTACTTTGTTGGTTTAACCCATTGAGTAGTTTTAGTTTTATGGTTTACATAATATAATCGTCCATTGTCTGTTTTCCTTTCCTCCCATCCATCTGGCAATGGGGATGATTGTTGAGATGATACACCTGCTGTACCATCTTGAGATAATAAAGATAACACTAATTGACCTTTAATTGGTATTGGATCGTCTGGATTTAATTTAACTAAATCTAATTTCTGATCTGTAAATAAATAATTTTATATAAAAAAAATATTAATCCAACAAAAGTTAGTAAGTTTATAAGTTATTATATTAAACACTTACAACCAGTGTCTTTGTATCGCTGAATTTGATTCCAAGATAACCTTACACACCCAAGGAAACCACTAGTAGGTTTTTGAATATTTTTATGGATTTTTTTATGATTCCACAAAGTAATTGTTACATGATCACCTTTACTTAAATATCTATTAAACATTTCAAATTATCATAATTTTAAAAATTAAGTATAATAATAATACAATTTAACTAATTAATTTACAAATCATAATGTTGATTCCATTGAGGGTCACAAGATGGTTTACAGGTATCTGTTGTATAACATTGTCCAGACCCATCCACACTAATCTTTGCAAATGCATCTGGTGGTAAACCTAAAAAAATTCATATTTTAACCAATAAAATTTATTATGCTTGTAGCTTCTTTAAGCAAGGTATGTCAAAAGTATAAAATTATTAATATTAAATTAAATATCTTAATTGTAATGTATAGTTCTTTATATTGAAATCAAAATAAAACTTACGGAATAAATCTTTTTTCAACAAATTTTGAGCACAGAGCACTGAAATCAAATTTTAAACATTATTATTAATACAAATGCATTGGTTACAAGGCATACTATACATACAAAGTGTAATTCATTAATATTATACCTACTACATTAAACTTAAGCAGTTCAAAAATCAAAATTAGTTATTTCTATTGTAGATATGTCAATATAATACATAAAATGTAATATTATATTTTATATAACTAATAAGTAATGTATTCTTGATTAACTTAAAGCAAAGAAAATCATGGCATCTAAGTGAAAATTATTTTAAATTAATAAGTATACCCTGTAAATTATTAGGCACTCAAATATCCTTAAAAAGCAGAATGATAGAAAAGTAACAATAAAATATTGTATCATGAAATAATATGGTAGATAAATAATTAGCGATTATATTTGACATGCCACAATTAAATTTATATTATTTATACATAATTTGTAAAAATATTAAATTAAGTAAATCACATAAAAATATTCTATATGCAAAATAAAAGAAAACTATTAGTAAAAATAATTTATAACAAATCAAACACCCACCAGTTAGACGGATTTTGGTAGTTCCTCCAGTTCGCCTGCTACCTGAAGATCCTGACATATTTAATACTCATTAATTATTATGATAAATCTACGTTTGATAAATTAAAAAACATTTGGCGTAATAAAAAACGTTTTACTATACAAAAAATGAACACATTATGAATAGCAGCACTATTTTCTCCTCACTAATATTCATATCTTTTTTTTTTTTATCACAGACAAGAAATTAAACATGAATATTACGCTCGAGTTTTGTAATTTCTACATAATTCTTCCAGTTTCGCGTAATTTCACTTATTTTATACGCTTTGAACAATTACATTATAGTAAAGATACTACAGGTATTAGGTAGGGTAGTATGATTGTATTACTTATATGAATCATTAAGACTAATTGAATGTTTTGTTATGAAATAATCACAGTGCAGTTATCTATAGCGTACTAGTATGATCGTAACATTTTCCCTTAAGTTGGCGCTTGCATGGAAACTAAACAAACGTAGTTTTTTTACCATGACTAGGTGACGTAATAGAGTTAACACATTTAAGTAGCTCTTGCATGCTTCAACACTCAAACCGCGGCTTACGGGTTTGGTTGAAAAATAAAAATTAAGATAAAAGCATTTTAAGAAATATACTAGCTCTGATGCACGGCAAATTTAATAAATTAAAAAAATTCTATAATAATTAAAATTTATTTGTCATGCTTTGGTGCCCCTATATGTGAATATAATCCCACTAGTCCAGCATCCAGTGATGGATTTAAGATTAAATTAAAGTGGCAAAAAGATATCCTGTAAATTCATTCTTGTATTTGAGATCTCTTTGATCTCTCAAGCTTATTAGTGACATAATTATACAAATATTTTCGCTGTTATTCAATTGGTGGTTCCAGTACTTAAAATAAAATATGTAGAGAGATGTTGCAATTACTAAACGATCGGCAAATCCGTCTCTAGAAACAAGGCATTTATTAGGTACCTAATTTTGAGTACTCAGTAATAGGTCACGCCTGGGTGAAACTTAGTTTAGATTTACGCTATAGTATTGTACGATTATCAATTATCAAATACAAACCTCTAAGTTGAAGGTTTGATTATTTTCATCAATTTTAAAGATATCGTGACATTTTGTTTTTAACTAAAAAATTTACCGTGATCTGAATCTAAAACATATATTTTAATTTATTTAATCATCCATTATTTTAATTAACTAATTAAAAATTAAATTTGAGATCTGTATTACTACAGAGTAATAAAAGTTTTGTCACAATTATAAAAATATTTGTATATTAAATGTTTTAGTTGAAAACACAAGTGTTTTAGATACACCAACATAAATTAGATTTTTTTTTTATATGAAAATAAAAAAATACTATATAAAATACTGCAAAACTAAATTTTGATTATATAAAATTAAACTAACTAGAATACTAGATGAAAATATTGTAAAGGGAACTTGATATCTTGTTTTTATTTAAGTATAAAATCCTAGGACCAGTCTTCAAAATCAAATTTTAAAAATATAATGATTACATAAAAACACCACACTTAACTGATCTATATTGATAGATAGATGGTCTTACTAAGTTATTAATCCAAGTATTATAAGAGGTTTAAGAAAAAATAAATACATAAATAAATAATTATTATGTAAATATCAAATTTTAACATTTTCTCTGTAAAAAATAACTAAAATAAAAATGTAAATTATTTCTTTGATTTTTCAATAATATACTAAGATTAAAAATAACTTTTTTAAGTATTTACTATTATTTTACTACCCAGTAGTAGATAACTAAATGCATTACTTACATTAACAATATCCAACAAATAATGGAAAATATTACTAAAAAGGCAAAATATTTAAATGGGTTAATTGCAGTGTAACTATTTACAATAAAAAATAATATAAAATTGAATGTGGCACAAAAATATTTGTTTTTTAATATATGTATAAGATAAGAAAAAAGTCACTTAATTAATTACTTAATACATAAACGTATTTATATATATAAATATATATATATATGCTTAATGGACATTATTTTAATATTTCCAACTATAAGAGTCTTTAATTACTATGACTAACATATATATTAATTCACAAATGTATTTTACTTAAATAAATAATAAAAAATAAAATATTTATAAGTACCTAGTACAAAAAAAAAAATATAAAAATATCATATTATAGAATGTGAAGAAAATATTCATGGATAGATAAATCTTACCTATAATGAATGTCAAGAATTTATACTTAAATATAGACAAATCCTACAACAAAGAAAAATATAAGATAGGTAAAATAAGAAGTTTTAATATTAGTTTATATCACAAATTGACATTGTATTGTTTAATTTAAAATCAAAACTAAAATAATTGTTCGATATGACTGAAAAGTTGTTAACCACAATATATAATAATTGATCCAAGTATAAATCAAGTTCAACAAATAAACAACTAAACAGATATTTAATGAAATTTTTGAAATATTTAAAAATAATTATTAAATACAGATAAAGGAATTGAGCGGTTTAAAAAAATTGTAAGAAAAACAACAACATAAAAGTTCTGTGTTTCTAAATGTCGTTATACTTGTGTATTCAATTTAAAAATAAAACATTAACAAGGAAATAAATTTGATAAAAATTATTTCCTTATTTAAATGCAATCATTAAAAAATATAGTTTATATCATATTATTATATTTATAAATTTAATTCCATAAAGAACTGGTTGTATAAACGCTAAAAAAAAAAAACACAGAACAAATCATCAACTTGTACTAAATTTAATATTCCTAATTTAACATAATAGTATACACAAATGATTTAAGTGAAATCTATCTAAAATTAAATGATAAATACAAATTTATTTAATTAACAAATAAAATATTTAGTAAGATAAAGAACTAATTTCATATTTTGTTAATTATACATCTTAGACAGATTTCACTGAATAGAAATTTGTACAAATTTAAGAATTATAATAATTGATGTTTAGATGAATAAATAGATACTGTTATGTAACTTTAAATTTTATAAATAATTAACCTATATTTCTGTTTATTGACTTATTGTTCATAGGTATTATTTTAATTTTTAAGCTATTAACCATAATATTTAGAGCTATTATCATACATTATAAATAGTAGCGTGTTATCAAAGCAATTTTTATGTTATAAATGTACACTATAAGCATGTGGGTAAAAAATTCATACATATAAATCAAAATAATAAATTCCAAAAAAAAAGTATATAAATGAATGAACATATATATATAACATGAAAATTAATAGTTCATATTCAATAGTTATCTTCACATTTTAAAAATTATTTTTTGTTTATATTCTTAAAAGTAAAAAATACTTTATAAAACAATTTTTAAGTCAGAATGTAGGTAACATTTTATCATTTTGATTCATAATGTATTAACACATAAATTTTTTTGTACATATTTAACGAACAAAAATTAATGGGTAAGCAAAAAATATTAAGTTAATATATCAATGAATTAATTAATAACAAAATTTGAAAACCCTAAGTAAATTTAAGTATCTAAATAATTATTGACTTTTTTTTTATTGCAATAAATTATCTGATTTTGAGAGAAAAATCTAGAATTTTTAAGTCTATTTCATGGTCACATATTCTCTACAGTAGTAAATACAGTTTCATGTAGTAGTAAATACATTCCATACAATTAAGAACACTATAGATTAAGGGGCATGATAAGGAGAAACATACGCAGCTGGGAACAGTCCTTCTCTGGTGCCAATCTCACCTCGCCACCAATTTACATCAGTGCGATTCGTCACAGTAATGACATCTCCTCGTTTAAAAGCTAATTCTCCTTCTTCTTGAGGTGTAAAATCATACATTCCAATTACCAGAGTCTGTAAAATTAAAAAATGTATATTTATTTGTTATTAATAGCATTTACAATTAGCCTAATTGATACATCATAGATATGAATAATAAGTACCGGTTTTTGGTTAAATCCATTTTGAGTTGCTGCTGGCATATCCCTAAGTCTAACATCTTGTGAACGAGAAACAGATGATTCCCGATGATAATCAACTAATTCATTTAAACTATCAAATTTCACGACCCACAAGAAAAATTTTGCTTGTGCATCTCGTAACACTTTAAAATGTTGGACACCATCGCCACATCTATTATTTAAAACATTTTCAAAAAATATAAATTAATATTTGTGAGTTCAAGGACACATTAAGAAAAGTTTGAAAATACTATAAAAATTGTATCATGGAATATAATATTTGCTCACTTGACGGATAATGAAAAATCTCCAGGTGAACTCTCACTTATTCGTACTAGAAAACAACCCTCAGGCTGTTGGTCTAATAATTTCTCCGCGTCTGCTCGAGTGATTTTGCCATAATACCAACTAAAACAAATAAATAAAGAACAGTAAACATTAGTATCATCTAGGCTTGAATTATATTACAACTATACAGAAATCCAAAGTGATGTCACTCACTCATGATTTTTCATTTCTATATAATTGCTAGGTATCAGTCCCTCTTTGCCCTCAAACTCGGCCCGAAACCAATTGACGTCATCTTCCATGTTGATCACCTGAAAAACAATTTGAATCGGTCAGGTGCCTTGTACAGCACCAGGTATTCGGTACGCCACGGCACAAGAACAAACCCCGATTCTCGTGTTGGACACATTCACCTACCATTAAATAGGCTGGATACTAAAATAACTCACCCTCAGCAAGCTACCCTTTTTGAAGCTTAGTTCATCGGGCGCCGTGGCTTTGAAGTCGTGCTTGGCGGTGGCTTCCATAGTTGGTTCGGGGAGTCCGTTTCGGTCCGTTCAAAACATAAATGTTATGATATACGGAAATCGCCGGAAACACGGGTGTTAGTTAAAAAAAAAAAAAAAGGCGGATCAATTGCACCGGAACTTGAACTGCGATTATTTTATGTTATTATTCGTATTATACTTTGCGTTGACGGACGAAACGGACAGAATAACAACCTTTGACGAGATAAGCGCGGACGGCCTCGCACGAGACACTTCGCGTACAAACGCGCGGACGCACACACACACATACACACACACACACATACACACATACGCACACGCACTCACTTCCTCGGGCGCGCACACACGGTCGAAGTGCCGAACGCGCGTGCGCCACTCCAGTTCACGGGACGAGATGGCGGGGGACAAAATTACAAAAACACCACTCGCTCAATCACTGAAATCTGATTATCTGAATCACCTCAGCTGATAGCAGCACCGATGATCTTTTTATTTTTGATATTAATTCGCGGCATTCGCGCGTACTGCTCCACAAGTAATGACTGACGACGTCCTGGTGGATTGCACGGTGCACACTTCAGTTTTGCGTACTTCGTAGCGTTTAAGATTTAGCTCTGGACTCTGGAATGGATACCTGCCAGGAGCAGTGGCACGACAAGTGAAGTGGCTTAGCTCCTGACCAAGATTTAGAGCAAAAATAGTCGACTACGATAATATAAAATAATCTATATATTTTTTTATTTTTTGTTATTTTCATGTAACCGATATATTAATTTGTATTAGTGATTTATATAAAAAAGTCGGTAAGATAATGATGATTTCGGAGAGTTCATTCCTGTGATTGTTTATGCTAATCGCTATACGATCTATTTGACTCGCACATTCGCAACAGTGACACATGAGCATATAAATAAACACATCGCTGTAAGACCAATAATTCGTAAAATGTCCGATGGTATTAATGTGTGTGTTGGAGTGAGGTTTTAAGTTCAATATCGGTGAGAGCTTGTATCTACGGTTAATTTTAACCATAGTATTTGCCTGTTAGCATCACTTAGACCTATCACTTGGGGTAGGTACTATACAGGACTTTCAGAGAAGTCCTCGTTTATAATTTGATTAGATGATTTATAGAAAAAAATAAAATTCTAAACACTCATTTTAGTCTCTGATAATACCCCTTTGCAAGACAGTTCATCGCCCTTTTAAACCACAATTATTTATATTTATACATTTTATTGCGTCTGTAATAATTATGATAAACAATAATAAATCGCAGTGGCACACGGCCGTATCTATCAAGCTAATTAGTGAGAAGTGTCGTGTGTACGTGGGGGGAGAGCGAGATTCGGCGACGGCGGCCATATCAAACATTCAAATTTTATCATTTTCTTGCTACTATTACTATTACTATTACTATTATTATTATTATTATTATTATCATCATCATCATCATCATCGTAGATAGGTATGTGTTATGTATTCGTTCGGGGCCGGTCGCCGTCGTCGCCGTCGCAGCAGCCGCCGCCGTACACAAAAGCGGCATTGCCAAATCTCGCCGGGATTGTATAGTCGAAACGACCTTGAAGCCGTTTTGAACAATGCCCCCCAACAGGTCTCTCGGCGACCGGTGAGCCACACACACGCGGCACCGGCCGCGTCGCAACCACCACCGACCACCGCCACAACCACCGCCACCACCACACCAGTCACCACCATCGGCGTTTTATTATTTATTCGTTGTGGACGGGGACAGATACCACTGTTATACCAGACACGACGACCATTATTATAATAATAATAATACATATTATATTATTATAAAATATCTACGCGGATGCGTGCGCGCGACGTTACTGCACGGGTGAAACGTGCGACTGCAACGGTGGCGTCATTTCGGTATATATTATTTCATTATTATGTATTCCGGAATTCGCCAGACCGAGAAAAACCTCATCGGTGTAACATTATGTTGCGTTTTAGCCGACTACCTTGTGCACGGCGTTTGTGTGGGGCGTTTTCGTCATTTTGCAATTTGCGGTCATCGCGCGCCGCGTTGTGATTCACGTCTAATTTTGCTGCGGACGGTTTTTGAAAAACACGCGTAGACGAGTATACCTATACTCACGTCTCACGGTTTTGAATTTTAAAATCGTTTCTATTGCATAATGCGATGGGACGTTTTTCGAAGTCGGTGCTGGCACGAAATAAAAGCTTAATTCTATATATTTTGCAGGACCGAGTCCGATGCAATAAATTGTCGCCCTCATAATCACACCGCGAGACGTCGACGCGCGCGTGCACGACTAACGTATACGTTCAATGCATTCAAATTTATAACGTTGTAATAGGCATCGTCACCCGTCGGTTTCGGCCGATTCAGGCGTTCAGCAGTAGCACTATTGTCTATTGCAAACTGCTCAGTCACAGTAGGTAGTGAATTGTCTTAATTTTTACTCGTCGAACAATATCCGTATCAAATACACGAGGGAAAACCTAAATTCCAAAAAACTCCAGCAGCCCTTCACCGACCAAAAAAATTTCTCAACAACCTCATCAGCAGTAAAATACGTCCTGTTAATATTGATATTTCCATAGTCACCGATTTTTAATCTTGTTTACGCCGGTGATACTTATATTGCTCATATTCAATGTTCTATAAACATGATAATTTTTTTTAAATATATATCTGAATAAATATAAAAAAAATTATTGATGAAATAGTTATATCATCGATAAAATAAAAGATACATAATAATTGAATTACTTAGATAAAGATAAAAAAGAGATAATTATTTTAAATAAAGATATCCATCGAAAAACTAAGTGATAAGTGTAACAAGTATTTACATATTTAGGTACATTTTCAAAATCATTATATGATTTATATTTATATAACTGTAAAATTCAAATAAATATTTGAACAATAAATCTTCATGTTTTTTAACTAGTTTAAAAAATAATCAAAAAACATTTTTTTAAATATCATAAAACTTTTTGGTGTATTAGGAACAAAAGTTAAAATTTACTTAGAGAATTGAAATGTTCTTTGTACATATTTTATTATTATTAATTTATTATTAAATTACTTATAATTAATACGTGTAATGAACAGAAAAGTTAAGTATAAAATTAACTTTAGTATTATTGTAATAGAAATCGGGTATACACTAATGCACTAACATTATAATTAGCATAATTCGAATAAATAATTTAAAATCATAAGTAGTAAATTTTTGATTGGTATGCCAAATAAATTCCATGTATTCCTAATAATAAAACTTATGATAAACAGTTAATTTTTTTATTATAAACATACGTTAATAATACGTATTATTTAACTATACCAAAATATTATTATAATGCTGAAATTAATATTGTATTCTATTTTATACTTTTTTTTTTTTTTGAAAAATTACAATCTATACATCTGTACAATAATAAACATAATATATAGTTGTGGTTTGCATAATATTTTGATAAGTGTTTCACACGAAAAGAAAATCACACATTTATAACATTTTTTAATATTTTAAATGCTTAAACCTTAGGTAACTATAAAATCACGATACCAGTTTCTTTTAAGATGTCTAATCAGGTTTTCGGGAATGTGAGTTACGACTTACGCTAATTCGTTGATCAGTTGGCTGATATTATTTTGCAGTTTGGCGCGAAAGCGTTTGTAGAAGAGCAGCAATTTCATTGATTGAATGTAATTTAAGGTTGGGATTAAAAATATAACTACTTAGATAAAACACAATATAACTTTTCATATTATATGTTATTACACTTAATACACATATCATAGTCATCAACGTTATAAGAGGGTGGATATTATGGCTTTTAGTAGTCTTTATCACGCCGAATTTCGAAAGTATTTCTAGCAATTTTTAGAAAAATTCTATAGTATAAGCTTGGAAAATTATTAATTATTATTCTTTTTCAATTAACCTATGAATGATACTTTTGTACTTTTGTCCACGTAAAAGATAAAATTTACATAAGGTCTATTAAGTACCTACCTACAACCTACTATGATATTACATGATATATTACGCAACGTTTTTTACATCAGAAGATTCAGAAGATATTTATTAAACATAAATAAAATCAACGATTGTGTAGATTCTATATGGTACTATAATTTTAACTTTATATAAGTACATATTAATGACTAAATTTTATACATATTATAAACCTAATAAATAATGATGTATAATATTTATGTGTGCGTGTGTGTGGGTAACGTCATGCTGAAACATTTTCAGACTTGAGGCAAATTTCATTTGACATCCACCCACAGCTTTTAGTCTACACTTTTTTTCTTAATAATTTATTAATATTATTATTAAAAACTTTTTGTTATATTAAATCCATTACCCATCTATTCATTTTGGTCTTAAGGAAATTGCCTCTTAAAAGCCTACTTGGGTATGCCGTTGTACATGAGTATTATAAATCTATACAAGTGTCAAGTATATACAACATACAACAAGTAATTTCTGGCCCTGGCAACGTTGGTATCGTAACCTAGTTGTTTGTATTCGTTATAAAAATATACACTTGCATTGAATATTAAAATTTAAAATGGACTAAGGGAATGCAAAACGACTAAAAACCTAAATTAAATGTTAGTTTACAAAAGAACTAAATAATTATGAGTCGATATTAAACAAATAATATATTATTTAATTAGATATCAATAATTTATAATATTAACAATCAAGTAGCAATTGAAAAAAAAAAATGTATAGATATTTATACTTTATCTTTAAACCTATATACATAAAAAAATAAAAGTTTAAATTGTATAGCTAATAAGTAATAGATTTATACATAAGTTTATTTGTTATTATAAAAGTTAATATAAATATTTATTAACATTAAACAAATCAAAATGTGTTAAAATCGTGTATCCGGGTTCTAAAAATGACATAATGAAATCAAGTTTTCGGATTTCTAGAACTTGATATAAATAGTAGGTATTATAATTTATATGTATATGACTCATCATACAATTTTAATTATATATTATGTATGTACTATAGTAGATATTATAGTGATAAATAAATTACTGTATGAGAGTCATAACTATATAATACTCATATTAGTCACGATACGTATATGTATATTATACCTATATAAAACTCAAGAAGTAAAATTAAATTTCATGTATAATAGGTAATAGTGTTTTAAAGTAAAAAATATAAAACCACCTATTTATACGATTTGGAAGTGCACTATTTGAGATCACTAATTTTCATTAATTTATTATTATTCAAAAGTAATC